AATCCACTAGGAACTGGAGGGAGGAACAGGAAGATATGTGGGGGCCACATACATATAGAAAGTCAGCTGATTGCCTATTTTTAAAAAGGTGAAATAGAGAAAAATTCTCTTACACATTTTATTTAATTAATTAGACTGCATTGGGTTTTAGTTGTTGCATTCAGGATCTTTGTTTTGGTGCACAGACTCTCTAGTTTTGGCACACAGGCTTCAGTAGTTGCAGCACTCAGGCTTAGCTGCTCTGTAGCATGTCGTATCTTATTTCCCTGACCAGGGATGGAACCCTTGTCCTCTGAATTGCAAGGTGGATTCTTAAGCACTGGACCACCAGGGAAGTCCCTCCTTTTATACATTTTTAACTCTGATTAAGACATTCAAACTTTACAAATGAAAACTAAGGGGCATGATTATCTTTTCAAGGAATAAAATAAATGATGGAGAATATACGTTTCAGTTCTTATCTCACAGCCAAGGCATAAGAGAAAAGGAAAAGATTTCCATGAGAACTAGAAGGAGTGGTTCCCCTGGAAAGAGAGTGAGAGGAAGACAGACAGACAAACCCATGGAGAATGGTGAGGGAGGCTCTCCCATGAGGACCCACAAGTCCTGTGAAGAACCAGCCCCATGTCATCTTGACTCTGGGCCTTAGCCCAGGTCACCCTGCTATGCTGCCTGGGTCGGGGTAGGGGGTGGGTACCGGAGTAGTTTTATTTTATTATTATTATTTTAAAAATATTTATTTACTTGGCTGTACCAGGTCTTAGTTGCAGCATGTGAGATCTTAGATTTTAGTTGCAGCATGCAGAATCTTTAGTTGTGGGCATGCAGGCTCTTAATTGCATCATGTGGGATCTAGTTCCCTGACCAGGGAACAAACCTGGGCCCCCTGCAATGGAAGCATGAAATCTTAGCCACTGGACAGCTAGGGAAGTCCCTACAACAGCCATTTCAAATGATTTCCAACACCCTGATACAGTCACATGATTTAAAAACTAAAAAGGACACAGTTTATAATGAAAATATATACTGAAAACTATAAAACTGCTGAGAGAAAACAAAGAAGACAAATAAAATGGAGAGATATGCCATGTTCATGGGTCAGATACTCAGTATTGTTAGGTCGTCAGTTCTCCCCAAATTGATTTCCATGAATTTCAATGAAATTCCAATAGAATTTTTGGAAGGCTTCTTTTTGGGTTGAAACTGAGAAGTTGGTTTTAAAACTATATGGAAGGATGAAGGGTTTAGAATAGTCCAAATAATTTTGAAAAGGTAGAGAAATGTTTGAGGACTAACACTACCTGACTTCAGGATGTATTTTAAAGCTACAGAAATCAAAACTGGATGGTACTGCATAAACGTAAACACATAGTTCAGTGGAATAGAATACAGACTCCAGAATGTATGTGCTCACATATGGACAACTGATTTTCAGCAGAAGTTCAAAGAGAATTAACTGGACAAAAGACAGTCTTTTCAACAAACAATGCCAGAAAAATTGGACATCCATATGCAACCAGTCCATCCTAAAGGAGATCTGTCCTGGGTGTTCACTGGAAGGACTGATGCTGAAGCTGAAACTCCAATACTTTGGCCACCTCATGTGAAGAGTTGACTCATTGAAAAAGACCCTGATGCTGGGAGGGACTGGGGGCAGGAGGAGAAGGGGACGACAGAGGATGAGATGGCTGGATGGCATCACTGACTTGATGGACATGAGTTTGAGTAAACTCCAGGAGTTGGTGATGGACAGGGAGGCCTGGCGTGCTGCAATTCATGGGGTCGCAAAGAGTCGGGCACAACTGAACAACTGAACTGAACTGATGCCAAAAAAGAGAGAGAGAGAACTTTGATCCATGTCTTGTATCATGTACACAAGTTCACTCAAAATAGATAATAGATTGAAATGTAAAAACATAGGGGAAAAATTTTGAGATGTTGGTAGGCAAAGATATTTTAGACATGACACCAAAAGGAAATCTGATCCATTTAGATGTCATACATTAGATGTGATCCATATAAGGAAAAATGGATAAATTGGGCTTCAGTCTTAAAAATTTAAAGCTTCTGCTTATCAAAAGATACCATTAAGAAGATAAAAGACAGGATGAGATGGTTGAATGGCATCACCAACCAATGGACATGAGTTTGAGCAAGCTCTGGGAGTTGGTGATGGATAGGGAAGCCTGGCATGCTGCAGTCCATGGGATCAGACACAACTGAGCGACTGAACTGAAGAAGATAAAAAAACATGCCACAAGCTAGGAGAAAATATTTGTAAAGCACATAATTGATAAAAGACTTGTATCCAGAATATATAAAGAATTCTAAAAGCACAACACTAAGAAAACAAACAACCTAACTAATAATAGAGCAAAAGATTTTAATAGACCCATTAAATAACAAATAAGCACATAAAAATATGTTCAATATCATTAGTCATTAGGAAGATGCAAGTTCAAACCATAATAAGAAAGCACTATGCTCCCCAGGTGGCTCAGTGGTAAAGAATTCACCTGCCAGTGCAGGAAACTTGGGTTCAATCCCTGGGTCAGGAAGATCCCCTGGAAAAGGAAATGTCAACCCACTCCAGTATTCTTGCCTGGAATATTCCATGGACAGAGGAGCCTGGTGGGCTATAGTCCATGGGTTCACAAAGAGTTGGACATGACTGAGCATGTACGTACACATGCTCCCTATTAGAATGGCTAAATTTGGAAAGATTGTCCTGCCACTGTTAGTGAGGATGTGATGCAAGTAGAACTCTCATACACTCCTGATGGGAATGAAAAAATGGTGTAATCAGCATGGTAAACAGTTTGTCAGTGTCTTAAAATGTTAAACATACACCTACAGTAAAGCCCAGGCATTCTGCTTCTAGGTATTTACTCAAGTGAAATGAAAGGATGTGTCCAGACAAAGGCTTGTTTATAGCAGCTCTATCTGTATTAGGTCAAAATTGGAAACAAACCACATGTCAGTAAGTGGGTGAATAAACAAACTGGTATTTTCATGCAATGAAATGTTATTCGGCAATAAAAAAAGGTGTAGTATTGATTATGCTGATTGAAAGAAGATAGACCAAAAAAAAAACCCCAATAAAAAAGTACATACTATATGAGTCCATTTATATACATATTAGAGCTAGCTCTTTGTCTATGATGGGAGTTGCAAATATTTTTTCCAGTTTGTAGTCTTTCTCTAGACTGAACTTTTTGGGGGGGATTGCGGGCAAAGCAGAACTTTAATTCATGGAGTATAATTTGCCAGCATTTCATATTATGACTTCTGGATTTTAAATCATAGTTAAACCAGTCTTTGCCCAAGGCATGAGGAATTCTTTTATGTTTTCTTCTGGAACTTTTATGTTTCATTTGTACTTTCAGATTGGTCTATTTGGAATTTATTCTGGTGCATAGTGTACATTGTAGGATGTAGTTTTTCTACTTTTTTAAAAAGCAGTAACACATTTTTGAAATAAAGCTTTATTTTCTGTTGGTGTGTTCTAAAAGTACTAGCATTGTGTATGAAACAATGACTAATTTTTGGACGTTTACTTTGGAACTTAGGGCCATGGGGTGGGACATTTATCACTCTTGCTTGAATGTCACTTTGAGAAGCAGAAGTTGCTTACTCTACAGTAGGTAAAAGTCACCTTTGACACCAACATTTATGTTATTACTCATGATGTTTCCTTTCTTTTCCTGCCAAATTGAAGTTTGGTAAATGGGTGGGAGTAATTTCCAATAGGTTGCCAAAGAAGATAGTTTATAGCAGGGAGTGGAAAATACAAAACAACAACAACCAAAAAAAAAAAGAAAAAAAATCCTTTCTGCACGCATTGCCCTCTAACAGCTCTTATCAAAACTTCCAGATTTACCATGTGACAGTATTCAAGAGTACCTTTTCAGAAAGGAGCACTGTGACCCCCAAGGCAATGATACTCTCTTTCCGACCACACAGTTAACTTGTCCTCTTTCAGTCTATCACCCATTTTACTGGTGATTTTTGATCATTTACTAGACACCAGGCACTGTGCCTGCCACCATGGAGCCAGCAGTCTGCTTGGGGAGGCGGGGCACATTAGAAAGTGTCTGAGAAAGGAAGGTGAGGGGGCCCAGAGGAAGGGCAGCTCAGTGTGGGGAAGACAGGGGAGGATGCTAAAGGACTGATGCCTAGACTGAGTTATGATGAATGGGTAGGAATTCGTCAGAAAAGGAGAGGGGAAAGGGTACCAGAGTGTTGGCAAAGTCACAGACATGTGATGTGTTCTGGGAACTATAAATTTCAGCAACCAGAGGGCAGGGCAAGGAAGGAAGAAGTGAGACACCAGGCTGGAGAGGTAAGCAAGGGCTGGGCCTTGAAGGATGGGGAAGTGACTTTGGAGGGCAATGGTGGTTGGGGAAGGGCATTACAGGGTCTCCCTGACAAACCTGCAATTCTCTAGAAAAAAAGTCAGTCCTCTCCAAGCCCGTATCAGGAAAGGCAGGAGGTCCAGACTTGGGTTGTGTGAGAAGAGACCCCTTGGAGGGGCCAGAGGAAAAGCAGAGAGAGATGCTGAGTGTGCGGGGAGAGAAGCCCTTTGTGGGAAGGTTGGAGAAAGGGAGGGAGGAAGCTCTCAGGCTGCCATGAGAAGGGGGCCCCCAGACCCAGTGGAGACACAAAGAGGGTCAGGAGCGCTGAGGCAAATGTCACTCATGCCTCCCCCCACCCCAAACAAACTAAACAAAGCAGCTGCGCTCAGTGGCCCCTCAGGAAGGCCAGTCATTTCCTGAGGAGATATGAGGCCGTCCAGGCATTGTTCCTGGTTTCCAGCATGGCTGCCATTACCTGACCAGTGCCTCGGCCAGTGTGTCCGCAGCGCCTGGAGACGCTCCCAATCGTGGTGTCTGCTTTTCACAGGGCAGGTCTCTCAACTGTGACTCCAGAGAAGTGTCTTCTGCCCCCCGGGGCATGGCCGCAACGCAGAACTAACCGCCAAAGTCTTCGCTTCTCTCAGGATGCAGCTGAGGTGGACCCAGCGGGGCATGATGTGGCTCGGAGTCCTGCTGACACTTCTGCTCTGTGAGTTTCCACTCTTGCTCAACATCACTTAAGCTTCTTGAGAAGGGAAGCTCATGAAATCAACGTATTTCTCCTGTCTTTTCCAGGTTCAAGCCTCAAAGGTCAAGAAAACTGTAAGTCGTGAGATTCCCATCTAGCTTCATTCCCTCTTTCTGTGACTCCTTTTGCTTGTTAGGATTGGTGGGTGAAGGGAGGGGTGATTAGAAAGCGAGTGATTCCACAATTTGGGGTTTTTTTGTTGTTGTTCTACCATAAATTTCTTTCTTTTTTTATTTTTAAGATTTATTTGTTTATTTATTCATTTTAGTTTTCGGTTGCTGTGGGTCTTGTCGCCGCACTCGGGGTTTTCTGGCTGCGGCGAGCAGAGGTTACTCTCTAGCTGTGGTGCGCGGCGGGCTTCTCATTGTGGTGGCTTCCCTTGTTCCGGCTCACGGGCTTAGTTACTCCTCAGCACATGGGGTCTTCCTGGATCAAGAATTGCACCGCTGTCCCTCACATTGCAAGGTGGATTCTTAACCACTGGACCACCAGGGAAGCCCTCTACTATAGCATATCTATTTTTCATATCCCCAATTGTTTTTATTAAAAAATGAGATACAATCAACTTGTTAGATTCATGAAGTCAGAACAGAGTTTAAATTGTCGTTATGAAAAATAAATAAATAAATAAATTGTCATTATGACTTCTAAATGATCTAAAACAGGTTAGATATCATCTCCCATCTATCTATGAGGCTGTGATAGCTAACATACCTGCAAATTATCTGCAAAATACCTGTAATACTTTGTTCTGGGTCAAGGGAAGCAGGTTTTTGCCTGACTTTGAAATCTGGCCTGCCATCCACTTTAGAGCTGATTTTGAATCATCAAGATAAGCAGGTTTTGTTGTGCTTCATATGAGACGCAGTGAAGTAGGGGACTGGGCGGGGCCTGGGGACTGAATAGAGGGAGAGCTCACAGAATGAGATCCCCTTGTCAGAGGTCGCTTCAATCGGCAGAAGCTGGGTGACTGGGTTGCTGCTTGGAGATGCCTTATGTGCGTGGTGCTGTTTGTTGAGCCCCGGCTTGGAGCAGTCACTCGTATGGGGAGGGCTCATGAGACTCATGAGGCCGATCTGGCAGGTCTCCTGCGATTGCCCAAGTGCTTCGAAGGGTGTTTGATCCCCATGGCTACCCACAGAATCAGGATGTCCATTAGCTTCATAATCAGACTACTTGACTGATGAAATCTCTGACCCTCAGAGGAACTTGTCCAAAAAGAGTCAGTTAGAACATCAGCAATAGAACTCCCCTTTTTCAAAACCCGATTGTTTGGAGTCTGGAGCCACAGGCTTGACTCATGTCTTTAAAGCTACTATTACTCTGTCTCTTGGAGCCTTTTTTTTTCTTTTATTTTGAGGTACCTCTGTACTGTTATTTGTTTGTTTGTTTGCAAATTTTGTTTATTTTTGGCTGTGCTGAGTCTTCATTGCTGTTTGGGGGCTTTGTCTAGTTGCAGTGAGCAGGGGTTACTCTCCAGTTGCTGTGCCCGGACTTCTCACTGTGGTGGCTTCTTTGTTGCAAGAGCACGGTCTTTAGGCAGTGTGGGCTCTAGAGTGAGCAGGCTTCAGTAGTTGTGATCATGGGCTTAGCTGCCACAATCCTCCCAGACCAGGGATCAAACCCATGTCCCCTGCATTGATAGATGGATTCTTAACCACTGAACCACCAGGGAAGTCCCTCTTTGAGCCTTTTTGTCAGTCTGTAAAACCAATGTGATGAGTCATCATGAGATGAGATGAAAGAGGTGACTCACCTGCCCACCATAGAGTGGTTAGTAAAATATTGGTTTATCATGGTTCTAACTCAGGGCTTCCCCAGTGGTTCAGCAGTAAATAATCTGCCTGCAATGCAGGAGATTCGGGTTCAACCCACGGGTCAGGAAGATCCCCTGGAGAAGTAAATGGCAACCCACTCGAGTATTCTCGCCTGGAAAATTCCATGGACAGAGGAGGCTGGTGGACTACAGTTCATGGGGTTGCAACGACTCAATAACAACAATGATCCTAGTTCACCGTCACCCTCGTAGCTCCTCCTCTGTCCACTGCAGCCTTGTGCCTCTGCTTTGGTCCAGACCTCACCCTGCCTCTAGACTTCTTTAGCTCTCCGATCTTCATTCCTGCGTAGCCCTATACTAAGGTCACAGGTGTGGAGCCCTGTACCAAGGTCACAGGATAAAAATCTCTGGAATGACCAAGCCCCATACCAAAATGTCATGGTCCATGTGCATTTTGGAAAAGAATTTCCAGACATGAGGCAGAATGAGATGAGAAGAAACTTTCTTAGAGTGGGAGACGCTGTTAGAATATCAGGCCGTCTCAAGGGAGAGCCATTTCTGACAACCATTTCCCAGGCTGGTAGCCTGTTTTTATAGCCCCAGGACAGACAATTCCTACTGAAATGGTGGCATTAGGTGATTGGTTAGGATGCTGTGTGTTAGTAGCTCAGTCGTGTCCGACTCTTTGCGACCCCATGGACTGCAGCACGCCAGGCCTCCCTGTCCATCACCAACTCCCAGAGTTTACTCAAACTCATGTCCATTGAGTCGGTGATGCCGTCCAACCATCTCATCCTCTGTCGTCCCCTTCTCCTCCTGCCTTCAATCTTTCCCAGCATCTGGGTCTTTCCAAATGAGTCAGCTCTTTGCATCAGATAGGTTGGGTATTTTACCTAATATTGGGTCAGGGAACTGGCCGGTTTAGATCCAGAGGCTCATCGCAACAGTTGCAGTGGGGCTTGGTCAGTTCCAGAGATTTTTATCGTGTGACCTTGGTATAGGACTCCCACAGTCCCCACCTCAGGGGGAAGTCAATCACTCCTTGCCCAGGTTTCCCAGAGAAAGGTCTTTGTAACTTTGGGGAAGACCTCAGGCTCTCCGACTGCCTCCTGAGGCCTCCATCCTATTTTACCTAAGGTACCTGTGCAAGGTCACCGCTGGGTGATGGCAGAGCCAGGTGGGGGGGCCTGGGACTCAGGTCTACCGTTCCTTAGACCACCCAGGACCATGTGCCTGACCTGCCAGCCTGCTCCATGGTTGAAGTGCTTGGTCAGCCCTGGCCCTTCCTCTCCTTTTACCTCAGGCCCCCACCCAACCCCAGCCGGCCAGTCTCAGGAGATGACCTCAGCTCCCTCTTCACCTAGAACACAAGGCTGTCTGGAGGGAACTCCCTCCACTTCCCGCCCTGCCCCGGCTTCAGGCTTATCTGCCTCTCCACCCGTCCTCCCAGCTTCCCTCCTGGCTTCAGAGGCCATGTCTACCCCGCAGCTGGGTAGGGCCGGCTGGTCCACCTGGGCTCTGAGCCCATCCCTGGCATCACCCCCTCCCCCAGAATCTCACGCTGTCCCTGACTGAGCCGCTTACCCCACTTTTAGTAGCTACCCCTGCCTTTGTGGCTCTTTCAGTCTACAAACGTGATTCGTAACACTTTATTTTAGGAAAAAGAAAAATCACAAACAAACCCCCCATTTATCTTCTGTACCCCTATCTATCCACTCCCTTCCTCAGTCAAACTCCTCTGAAGCCTTGTTTCTTTAATTTAATATTTATTTCTTTATTTTTGAGCTGCTTGGTATTTGGAATCTTAGTTCCCTGACCGGGCACTGAACCCGTGCCCTCTGCAGTGGAAGCGTGGAGGGTTAACCACTGGACCGTCAGGGAAATCCTCTGATGCCTGGTTTCTAATCACTTCTCTGCTTCCTCACCTCTCAGTCGACCCTCCCAGGCAAGTCTGGCTTTGGCCCCCACACCTCCCAAATCCTCACTATGAGGTGATGCCAAATGCTATGAACACATCCAGACCTTGGCCTTCAGGACCCCAGTGTTTGCACAAAGCCTCTTTCCTTGGCCTTGTAAACCCTCTTCCCTGGTATTCTCCCACCAGGGAGACTTTCTGACAGGAAGACTTGGACTTTTTCCCCAGGGAGACTTGGACTTTCCCAGGGTCTGATCCTTGCTGAAGCTCATCTCCTCCTCCTTCCCCCAACACACACCTCCACATGCCCACCCTCCAGTTCCACTCCAGCTCTGGCCGCTCCACTGATGGTCAGGTTTCCTCCGGGGCTGTGGCTGACATTTCCTCCTAGTCATCCCCCAGGGTTCCTCAAACCAGCTGCAGCACCAGGACTTTGTCCCGCCCTTATCTTTGTCTGGCCTTGTCTCCTTTAGTCCGCGGCACCTCTATCCCCGCTAGGTAACTAATCCAGGAAGCTTATCTTCCACCTTTTACCTCAGTCCTCATGGCCAATCAAACAGGTCAAATACACATAACAAATATTATTATTATTTTATACTTTTTTGGCTGCACCGCAAGGCATGTAGGATCTTAGTTCCCTCACCAGGGATGGAACCCATGCCCTTGCAGTACGTTCATAATGTTGTACAAACATCACCACTGTCTAGCTCCAGAACATCTTCTTCACCCTCAAAAAAGTGAAGTCCTTCTGCATCCAGTAAACATTTCTCAAGCCCATCCCTGCCCCTCAGCCCACTGCAACTGCCGGAGCTCAGGCCACATCAGCTTTCACCTGGACCTTCATGCAGGTAGTTACAGCCTCCCCTCCCAGCCCACAGTGGTCTTTCTAAAGCTCCAGTATCATCCTGTTACCCCCCACCCCTCCCAAGACCCTGAGGACAGGGCCCTGCAGGTCAGTATGGTGGACAAGGCCCTCTGTTCTGGCCCCTCCTACCTGTCCCCACACTCCGGTTCCTATAACCACCTGTCCCCAGAATCCATTGATTTCTCCTGCCCTTGTGCTCCAGTACATGCTGTTCTCCTGCCCTGAGTCCCCCACCCATCCCTTCTGTCCCGGTCCAAGGCTCAGTTCTGGGGTCACTTCCTTCAGACTTGCCTTGGCCTCTGCTGAGCACCCCTTCCTCCTGGCCTTACACCGCTTACTCCAGCTGTCTGGGTCCCCACTAGCCTGCACGGTCTAGGACAACAGGGCTGCTTTCTTATTCACCTTGTGATCCCAGCACCTGGCACCAGGTGCTCGGGGAATATTTTCCTGAAAGAGGCTCGGACTGAACTTGGAGGTACCTGAGATTCAGGGGAGCTGGGTCAGCACACTCCATGCTGAGCATCATGGGTCACCAGGGCCTCCGTGCTTCGTGGCTCCCTGTATTTTCCTGAGAGTGGTGGATGGTCCCTCCTTCTCTACCGCCCACCCCCAGCCACCCACTTCTTTATGAGTCATTTCCAGGTGGAGGGCTGAGGAGGTGACTGAGTCGCGATGCCTCATCTTCCCCAGAGCATCAGCATCCGCTGACCGCGTGCCTGAGGTGGAGGGAAGCAGGGCCCTTTGTTTTAGGGTGCGGGGCCTTGGCACTGTGGTCCCCTGGTGTCTCATCTGAGCTGTGGTGACTCTCTGGCTTTGGATCTCCATCTGCCTTCATCTCTCCAGGTTAAAAAAATCTGTCCTCTTTGAGCTTTGCTGGTGGCTCAGATGGTAAAAATCTGCCTGCAATGCCGGAAACCCTGGTTCAGTCCTGGGGTTGGGAAGATCCCCTGGAGAAGGAAGTGGCAACCCACTAGAGTATTCTTGCCTGGGAAATCCCATGGACAGAGGAGCCTGGAGGGCTACAGTCCATGGGGTTGCAAAGAGTTGGACACGACTGAGTGATTAACACTTCACTTCTCAACCATGTCCTTTCATTATAGCTCTGAACCTTTGGTGTCCTCTCTCCAGAAAAACACACAGTTGCATAGAATTGGAGGTGGTTCATGGGTCCGCTAACACCTCTCTGTGAACCTTGGGGAGGCTTGGGTTGTAGCAATCACTCTGTTGTGTAAATAATGAGCAGTAACTACACACAGTAACCCAGTTTGGCTGCTTCTGGAAAGTTTCTTCACAAAGAGGATATTATTTTCCATATTATCTTAATGATCGCATCCCCAGTGGCTCAGCTATAAAGAATCCGCCTGCCAATGCAGAAGATGCAGGAGATTTGGGTTCGATCCCTGGGTCAGGAAGATCCCCTGGAGAGGGAAATGGGAATCCACTACAGTATTCTTGCCTGGGAAATCCCAGGGACAGGGGAGACTGGTGGGCTGCCATCCAAAGCGTTGCAAAGATTCGGACACGACAGACTGAGCACACACGTGTTGTAATAATCAGGTAGAGATTTTTGAAGTTTGTGTGGTGTATTTGTTATCTATTACTCCTTAACGAATTATCCCCAAACTCAGTGGTTTAAGATAATTTATCATCTGCAGTTTCTGAGGGGCAGGAGTCTGGGAATAGCTTAGTTGGGTGGTGCTGACTCATGGTTTGTCTGGAAGTTGCAGGTAAAATATTGGTCAGTGTTATGATTTACCTGTGGAGAAGGCAATGGCACCCCACTCCAGTACTCTTGCCTGGAAAACCCCATGGATGGAGGAGCCTGGTGGGCTGCAGTCCATGGGGTCACTAAGAGTCGGACACGACTGAGCGACTTTACTTTCACTTTTCACTTTCCTGCATTGGAGAAGGAAATGGCAACCCACTCCAGTGTTCTTGCCTGGAGAATCCCAGGGACAGCGGAGCCTGGTGGGCTGCCGTCTATGGGGTCGCACAGAGTCGGACACGACTGAAGCGACTTAGCAGCAGCACCATGATTTACCTGAGGGCTTGTCTGATGCTGTGGATTCTGCCTTTAAGCCCACTCATGAGGCCATTCCTCACCACGTGGGTCTCTGCAGAGGGAGGCTCATGACACGGCAGCTGGCTTTGTGCAGAGTGGGTGATGCCAGAAGAGGAGGGGGTACCCAAGAGGAAAATTGCAATTACAAACTAATCTCAAAAGTGACCTACTAGCACTTCTGCAATATTGTTGTTCCTGAGACCAACCCTGGTCCGATGTGGGAGGGGACCACTTGTGGGTGTGACAGTAGAAGGCAGGGCTCATTGGGGTGCCCTCTTGAAAACTGGAAACCAGAAGGGTGTTGGTGGAGGTTGTGGTCATGGTGATAAAACCGAGGCTGCTGGTCTGTTGCATCAAGTCAATGAGCTGGGACTCATATCTTGGTACATTTTATAAATGCTTCCCCTTCTGTCCTGCCTTCCCTTCTTCTTTCTTGTCTGCTCCCGCTGGCTGGCTGTGGAAGTGTGAGATCCCTACCAGCGAATCAGCTGAGTTAATCTATTAAGCAGAAGTACGTTAGGTTTGCTTAGAAAAACAAGGTGGCGGAAGCGCCTGGTGTTAGTACACATCCTCCTCTTGAAAAACCAACTACCGATGCTTTAGCTGAGTTTGCTGTAAAATGGTTAGACAGTGGTAGAACGCCCTAGGGCTGATCAGTAGGAGACTCTGGCAGGGCTGGTGCTGAGGCTGGAGTAAGAAAGGGTGGTGAAGTGTAGACCATGAGCCCCAGGTGAGCAGAAACTGTGCCAGTCTCACCCTTCTCTGAGCCCCCAACATTGGGTGCAGTGCCTGGCACAGAGACAGCCCCTCCAGTATCTGCTGAATGAGTGATGCTAAGTGGGAAGGAGATGGCAGTCAGGGACCAGGCACTGGGCAAAGCGAACCTGGCCCTTCAGTGCTCTCAGCCACCTTGGTTTGGTCATTCATTGTTTGAGATTAAAATACCAAGGAAGGCAAGTATTAGTGTTCCTTCTTTATAGGAGGAGAGGTTGTATTCTGGAAGGGTTAGATAACTCCCAGGGACCCCAGCTAATGGCTGTGGGACCAGGGGTTTGGGTCAGGTGTGCCAGACTCTGCTTTCTTCCTGGCCCCAGTTCTGGGTCCCAATGATTCAGGCATGGGTGTGCATTTCATTCAGATGATGACAGTAAAGTAGCCCAAACCAGAGGGGTAACTAACACCAGGAGTCTGGAGAAGTTGTTGTAATTTACCTTAGAAATTTAAAAATATTTTGGGTTTTAAAAAATTATTTATTTGGCTGTGCTGGGTCTTCACGCTGCGAGGGGTTTTCTCTAGTTGTGGTGAGTGGGGGCTCCTCTTTAGTTGCAGTAGCTTCTCTTGTTGAAACACACGGGCTCTAGGGCACACAGGCTCAGTAGTTGCGGCTGCCAGGCTCTAAAGCTCAGGCTCGGTAGTTGGGACCCATGGGTTTAGTTGCTTCATCACATGTGGGATCTTCCCGGATCCAGATCAAGTATCAAACCTGTGTTTCTGCTTTGTTGGGGGGTCTCTTTACCGCTGAGCCACGAGGGAAACCCTGTTTTGTTTTGTTTTTCCCCTGAAAAATATTTGCTAGAAATATGACTTCAAGAAAGAGCTTTAGAGAGCACAAGACTCAACAGCTGGTTTTATATCTGTGACTGACAGAATCTAGTCAACATTTCAAAAGCACTTTGTGCCAGGAACTGTGCTCCAAGGACTTAAACTCAATTTCTCATTTACACTTACTATTATTATGTCCATTGTGACTTCCCTGGTGGCTCAGTGGTAAAGAATATGCCTGCCAAGTAGGAGACTCAGGTTCGATCCCTGGGTCAGGAAGATCCCTTAGAGAAGAAAACAGCAACCCACTCCAGTATTCTGGTCTGGTAAATCCCATGGACAGAAGAGCCTGTCGGGCTACAGTCCATGGGATCGCAAAAGAGTTGGACACGACTTAGCCACTAAACAACAATGTCCATTGTATGGATAAGCAAACTTGAGGCTCAGAGAAGTTCAGTGACTTATCTAAAGCCACACAGGTTGTGTGCAGAGATGGGATTTGGTCTAGGAAGTCTGACTCTGCACTCATCCCCCTGCTCTCTATCTCCTGATAGAATCACTGTACTAAACAGCATCGCTTAAAATGAAGGAGAAGGTACTGAAGGAGTAGGGAGACTTGCCTGTCCTTACCTAGGAGAGAATGTATTAATTGATGGGAAAATAACATGGTTAAAAGAAACTTCTGTTCTGAGCACTCACCCAATAGGCTCCTGAGACCAGGACCTGAAAGACAAAAAAGGAGGTTCTGAAGATTAATGCTGTAAGAAATGCACCTAAACAATCACCTTGTTTCATCTCATGACTAATCAGATGCCAGTTTTTGTTAAGATGTTCAGAAATAAAGGCACAAGGATGGACTGTTCTATTCAGTTAAAACCTGGGACATGTTGAAGTTAAATTTTAAGTTGTTCAAAAAAGATTTGATGTTATGAAAAGAGAGAAAGAAAGACTTTTTTTTTTGTTTTTTTTTGTTTTTGCCACTATCTCTGGCTAGCTACCTGGGTATACCTTTTGCTATCTGTAAAATGATTTGGGACCACTTATAAAAATTATGTATATTATTGTTCAATAGGATAAAATAAGGAAATCAGAGTGAGAAGAAAATTAAGGCAGTTAAATAAAACTATGACTCTTTCAGCATGGAAAAATGCATCCTAAATGTTGCTAGAGGTAAAATTTGGGGCTTGTACTTCTTAGCAGCCAAAGTGAGAAAGGGAAGCAAGATCCGTGAGAAAATGTGGTTTCAACAAGTTCTCACTCATCTGGTGAGGCTTCTGACTCCATCAGCTAGAAAACATCAGCTGAGACTGTGCTAATTTGGTCAGGCTAGGGTGGGGGGATGGGGGGGTGGCAGGGTTGGGGGAAAGGTGGGGAAGGGTGGCAGAGCATTTCCTGGGCGTCACCATGTGATTTCAGAACAGTGGTAGCCATCACTTATCCCGCAATTACTGTGTGCCAGGAACTGCACTGGGTGACTTTCTACTCTTCTGTCTTACAACAACCTACTATGTACGTATTGTAACCTCATTTTAGAGATGAGGAAGTTGAAGTCAGAGAGGTTAATCACCCAAGGTCACACAGTAAGTGATGACCCAAGACTTGAACGTTCCTCTGCCCAAATCCTAGGCTCTCTCCAGGGCCACGATGCAGCTGCTCACTGGCTGCACACATCTCCTGGACATGTTTTAGTTGTCACACTCTGAAGCCTGCCACCTTGTCATGGTGGAATATGAACCACTTAGTACCGACTGCCCTGTGCTTGACCCACCACGCATAGTCATCACCTGCTTGGGACCCCTGGACGCTCTATTGTGCAGGAGGTGATGATACCCATCTGATGATGATGGTGATTATTGTTCCTGAGATAACAGATGGGTGGTTCTGCTCTCCTTCCCCTTGGCCTTTAGCCTTCACCATCAACAGCATACACATGCAGATCCTGCCGCAAAACGAGGTGCAAAACGGGGAGAACCTGACACTGCAGTGCATCGTGGATGTCAGCACCACCTCGCGGATCAAGCCTCTGCACCAGGTGCTGTTCTACAAGGATGATGTGCTGCTTCACAACGTCTCCTCCATGAGAAACACAGAGAGTTATTTGATTCCCCACGTCCGGGTCTGTGACTCAGGGAGATACAAATGCACCGTGATCCTGAACAACAAGGAGAAGACGACGCCAGAGTATGAGGTGTGGGTGAAAGGTGAGAGCCTGGAAAAGAACACGGTTTGGGAGGGTGAATCACGAACAGGTGCTGTAGCTAGAAGAGCGACTGAATGAGTCACGACACACTGGACCTCCCTGCCGATCCACCACCCTTCTCACTTGTGTACTTGACGTTTCCCCAGCCTGGAAATGCAGGCAGTAGACACCCTCCCGATTCACCAGGTTTTTCCTTACCGCCTTGCCTTTGCACAGGCTTCCCTTGTGGCTCCGCTGGTAAAGAATCCTCCTGCAATGCGGGAGACTTGGGTTCAGTCCCTGGGTTAGGAAGATCCCCAGGAGAAGGGAACAGCTACCCACTCCAGTATTCTGGCCTATAGAATTTCATGGGCTCTGTAGTCCATGGGGTCACAAAGAGTGAGTGACTTTCACTTCACTTCACTTGCCTTTGCACATGCGATCTGCTCTCCCTAGAACTCCCTCTTCATCTCCTCTCCTCATGAACCCTCTCTCCTTGAACACTCAACTCAGTGATCTCTTCTCTGACACTTTTCCAAGCAAAATTGATCTCCCCCAGGGTTCTGGTCCTTATAGCTCTTGTCCCTCTCTGCATTCAGTGGTATTTGTACAAAGGTCAGGGCACTGGGTGCTGACACTGGATTCTGCAGTTGCTCTGCTTAGTTTTGGTCTGGACGAGTCCCTCACCTTCTCTACACTTTAAAATTCTCATCAGTGAAATGAAGATAATAATACTACCTCAGGGAGTTTCTGAGAGGATTAAAAGATTCTGTGTTGGTAGAGTTTAGTGCAATTTCTAGCACATAATGAGTTTCCAATAAGCTGCAATTACTATTTCACTCAATAACGCAAATTTCTAACACATCTTGTTGCTCTCCAGACTGTGAGATCCTGAGGAAAGAGGTGGTGTTTAGCTTTTTTTTTTTTTTTAATATATCTCAAAAAAATCTGGCTCATAGTAGGCACTCAATAAATGATTGTGGAATAAACCCAGTTGAAAAGAGCAAGTAGAAATAGAGATGGAGAAACAAGAAAAATGTATCATTGGGGGAAATTTGGGTCACACAGTTCCATCCATCCATTCATTCATTGGTTAACTCTCTGAAGAAGCGTGTCCCAAGGTTGCAAGTCAGGAAGAAAAAAAAAAATAGGTGCTAGACATGAAAATGCATCAGGCAAATCCTAGCTCTGGGATGCAATTACAGTCCTGGAGGGAAGAGATATATTTACCAAATCACTGCAGTCCAACAGTCATTTGATCTGACTGCCTTGGGAGCACAGCGGTGAGAAGAAACAATTCAGCCTAGAGAAGTTGGGGACGGCTTGCTGGAAAATGGACACTGGGTTCAGATACAAAATATCACATAGGAATTATCTTGATGGCCAAATGGTGCCAAGGACAGAGAAAAGGGATGTAGCATAAGAGTGAAAGTGCAGAGGCTGAGAAAGAAGTTGCTCTCCCAGCAGAGTGCCCCTGGGTCAACTTCCCTTCCCTAACCTCTGTAGGCAGGTTTTCATTTCCCGTCTCTAAAATCGATATCACTGGGTATCTCTGCATACCCTTGAATGTTGTTTGTTTTGAGAATTAAATGGGGAGCAGAGGAAGTGATCCAATGTTGGATGAATGAATGGCCCACCATGTACTAGATGCTTGGCCAGACCATCCTTAGAAAGAAATAATCTTACAGCAAACAGGAAACAGGAAGAACCAGTAGGCAAGTGTTTGGGGGCATTTTCCTCTCAGAAGTATACAGCCTCTGACCACCTTCCCGTCAGGCTTTGAGGCTCACACGGGAGGACATGACTGTGTCATCCTCCAGGCCGGTTCGTCCTCTGGACATCCTGGGTGTCCCGTGGAAAATCGCGGCATGGCTGGCCAGACATCCCTCTGTGTCACCAGGGGCCACAACCACAGGGAAGCAGTGCAGCACTTCAGCATCTCCACGGGGGACAGGGGAGGAGACAACAGCTCCCTGTGTTCACGGTAGTGATGAGGAAAGAGTGGCAGGCCAAGACTTTGGGAAACAGATGTTGAAAAGAAATGTGCCAGAAACTTGGGATGATTTAATGGACATGGTTTGTGAATTCAGCCCCGTTCTTTCTGGACAGCTGCTGCCATAACTGTCATTTCTGCATCTTTGAGCTCACTTCTGTGATCAGAACAGTCATTCATACCATTGTTACTTCCAGTAATAAGAACTACCACTTATTCAGGCCCTCATGAGGCAAGATAAACGTTTCTCAGCACATCACATGCATTTCATTTTACTCCTGCAGTGGTACTGCAATATTAGCCTGGTTCCTCCCGTGTACAAGTGTCAACAACCTCAGAGAGGTTGGGTGGTCTGGTCACGTCAAACACAGAGCCCGAGTCAGAACCTAGATCTATCTGACTCCGCAGTTGGCCTCTGTCTCTTTTTTATGATAGAAGGTCTTTGAGGCAGACAAAAGACAATCCATTCATTCATTAGCCATTTATCAAGTGTGCATTCTGATGAAGACCTAACAATGAGTACGAGGTGATCCCATCCCTTGATCCCTTCTCCTGGTGATCTTGTGTGGGGGCAGGGGATCGCCTTCACCAGAAGTGACAGCGGAGGTGGAGCACGTGCAGATCTCCTCCCCAAGAGGACAACTCTGCATTTCTCCCTTTTTAAAAAAAAAATAATATTTTTATTCATTTTTTTTAAACACCAAAAGCATTTTGTATTTGGGGTATAGCCGATTAACAAGGTTGTGATAGTGTCAGGTGAACAGCGAAGGGATTCAGCCATACATATACATGTATCCATTCTCCATCCCTGATCTGGGCGGGTCAAGGAAAAAGATTCATGAGTCTTGAGTGACGGGGGCAGGTAGCACATTCAGGAAGAGGCAGGTTTAGGATACAAGCAAGTCTGTCTGATTCCAAGATGGAGTTCATGGCCCTTGGACCCCAGGGCCTGGACAGGACAGCTCATCTCAGCCAGACTTTCCCAGCTCCCTCTAATCTGACCCCAGCTCACCACCTGCTGTATTTTCCCCTCCAGCCCTTCCTCTGCTCTAGACGGCCCTCCTGAAAAGCCACTCATATCCCTTGGCACAAGCAGATCCCGATGCCCTGAAATGCCTGTCCTTGGCCCCCATCTCACTTCATCTGTCCAAATAACCTCCTTCCTCCAAGAATCCTCTCAGGCGCTATTCCTTTCTAGGATCTTCTCTGATTCCTCAGGCAAAGAGGGACTCCTCCTTTCCCGACTGCTCCCTAGGTCACTGTCTCTGTGAGGCACTCGAATTCCTAGTTATTTTCAGCTTTCCTTTTTTAACTGAGAGGCCACGCCTGCCTCTTCTCCTCCCCACGCCCACCCTCACCCACCCCACCCCTGCCTCTGGCTGTAAAGTCACAGACCTGGGGGTGAGTCTCAGTTGCTCTGGGGCTTGAAGGCTGTAAGCCTCTGGGTGAGCCTTGAACCTCTCAGAGCGTCACCTTCTTCATCTGTAAAATAGACATAATTTTCTCTTTCCTGCCCTCCCCAGAGATTTACTATGAGAATTGCAAAATGGAGTCATGGATAGAAAGTTAATCCTAGCTTGTTGTTGGCATTCAATATATTGTAACAACCACCACAGTAATACTGATGAATACTGAAAGCCTTTGTTTTATTCTTAACTATGTCAGTTGAGATGACTTGACTTCCCAGTGGAATTATAAACTTTGAAAGCACCAACCACATCTTAGACATAGTCTATATATTTTTTCAAAGTACCTGGTATGGTGCTCAGCACATACATACTCAACAATTACCTGGTAGGTAGCACTGAGGTTCTGGGAACAAAAGAACCATCAGATGGGTCAACCCCAGTGACTGGGCTGATGAGTGGCTTGGTCGCTGGAGCAAACTTACTAATGAACTTTCTCTTCCCCAAAGGAGTGTCTGATCCCAGGGTGATGCTGGACAAGAAGGAGGTGATAGAAGGTGGAGTCGTGGTGGTCAACTGTTCTGTCCCAGAGGAAAAGGCTCCTGTACATTTCACAATTGAAAAATTTGAACTAAATATAAGGGGCGCCAAGAAAAAAAGAGAAAAAAACTCTCAGAACCAGAATTTTGTGACGCTGGAATTCACAGTTGAGGAGCAAGACCGTGCCATATTTTTTCAATGTCAAGCGAAGATCTTTTCCGGGTCCAACGTGGAGTCCTCCAGACTCATGAGGAGTGAACTGGTCACTGTGCGGGGTCAGAGTCCTACTCTCCTTTCTATCATTCTTCCTGGTTTGCTGATTTGGTCTGGGGAGACAGAGCCCAGAATTGGAAAGGGGCTCAGGCTTTTGCTGCTCAAGACTGTTCTTTGTTTATTATTATTATTTTGTATTGGAGTATAGCTGATTAACAGTGTTGTGATAGTTTCAGGGGAACAGCAAAGGGACTCAGCCATACATATACGTGTATCCATTCTCCCCCAAACTCCCCTCTGGTCCACAAAACATTGAGCAGAGTTCCATGTGCTATATGGTAGGTCCTTGTTGATTATCCATTTTAAATATAGCAGTGTTACATGTCCATCCCAAACTCTCTAACGATCCTTTCCCCTCAGCATTCCCCACCATCCTGCAACATTCTCTAAGTCTGTGAGTCTGTTCCTGTTTTGTAAGGAAGTTCATTTGTATTTCTTTTTAGAATACGTCATACCATATTTCTCCTCTGTCAAAACTGTTCTTAATCACTTTATATTTTTCAAACTTTTTGACTGTGACACAACTTAATTATATATACATATACATTTCCAAACAATTCTTAACCTTTGTACATGATGCATTTTGCTATTTTTCTTTCTATTCTATTTCCATTTCTTAAAGCACTGGCAGAGACTCACTGAAACGATATCTTGTGTGACCTGCAGCTTGGGAACTGTGACTTTCAGCCATGAGGATCAGACATCAGGAAGTGAGGTCTGGAGGGGATCCAGAGGGAAGCGGGGCAGGTCCTCGGCTTTCGCCTCCTACATTTGACGAGGGGTTTACCTCTTCTACCCATCCTTTCATCACTGAGATGTTGGACAAATAGGAAACAGATGAGGTGACCTGAGAAGTGCTCTCAGGAGAGAAAGTCTACAGCAGAGGGGGGCCAGGGTCTGAGTGTCCAGGACAGAGAGCTCAGAGCTCCAGGTCAGGCAGCCAGCAGCTCCCAGTGGCCTGAGAGGGAAGCATGTGTGAAGCAGGAAGGAGGTAGGGGAAGGAACAGCTTACCGCAGAAAGCCTCAAGTGTGTTCAGGATTGGAGCCCTACAGATTGTTAAGTGACCCTCAGGGGACTTCCCTGGTGGTCCAGTGTTAGGAATCTGCTCGTCCACTGCAGGGGACACGGGTTTGATCCCTGGTCAGGGAACTAAGATCCTGCATACTGTGTGGTTTGGCCAAAAAAATAATAAATCAAAGCAACAATTAAGAAAAAAAAAAAAAAATGAACCTCTGCTTTTGGCACCTTCACTTTTGCCCATTGTGTGTACATAATGCTATATTGTATGTGTATATATTTCCTGGATAGTATTATGTGTGTGTGTATATATATATATATATATATAGTATTATGTATATACAAAATTTTTTTATTGTAGTTCATGGTGTGGGTTAAATTTTCAGAAAATGTGGTACTATATAAAGTGACAGTTCTTCACAGAAAGTACCAGCACTTAGAGAAAGTCTTTTGTGTGGTTTTCTAGGCTTGTTCTGCTCATTCATCATGTGCACACACAGTTTTGACTTGTTTATCTTTGTTTTTACCAAAAAAAAAAAAAAAACAGAAAGAGAGAGAGAGAGACCTGTCAAACATTGTATCTTATAACTTTTTCTTAACAAATACAATATAGATGTACTTTTGTCCAAATCAAGAAATACAGATCTTTACCATTTTAGTGACAACTCAGAATCCTGTTGTAAGGATATGCTATAATGTATTTGCCTCATTTCATTTTAGGTTTTTAAATTAATTTATTTTTTGAAAGTGAAAGAAGGTTTTATTCAGGGAGGGAGCACAGTCCATAGCCAGAGTGTGGGCCATCTCAGAAGGTGACAGTCACCTGCCTCATTTTATGTTGATGGACATTTAGGCATTTTTTCCCCCACTTGTTTGCTCTTAAGACAATCTGGCAGCAAACATTCTTGTAACTTCTCTAGTTTTGTGAGTATTTCATTATTATTTATGTGTCAAATTCTTTTTTTAAATTTAATTATTTATTTATTTACTTTTGGCTGGGTCTTTGTTTCTCTAGTTTCAGGGAGTAAGCGCTGCTCTAGTTCTGATGTGCAGGCTTCTCATTGTGCTGGCTTCTCTTGGTGAAGAGCATGAGCTCTAGGGCACCCTGGCTTCAGTAATTGTCATTGTGGCACAAGGACTTGGTTGCCCTGTGGCATGTGGAATCTTCGTGGACCAGGAATCGAACCCATGTCCCCTGCTTTGGCAGGCAGATTCTTAAACACTGGGACCGCCAGAGAAGTCCCTGTGTCAAATTCTTGATTCAAATGTTTTGTGCATTTTGGGTATTGAAAAATGTCACCAACGCGCTCCTCCAAAAGGATAAACATTTCCATCAAAAGTGTTCATTCTCCCACATCCTCATCAACACAGTATATTATTGATGTTTTCTCTTTTATTGACTGCCTGTGAGCAGCTTGCAGGATCTCAGTCTTCAGTCAGGGACTGAACCTGGGCCACAGCAGAGAAAGCACCGAGTCTTAACTAGACTGCCGGGGAGCTCCCAATATTTTTGTTATTTCTGACAGTATTATAATTGAGGCACAATGGCATATCACTACTGTGATTTGTATTTCTTTGGTCTAAAGACCAAAGAAGGTTGAGTATGTTTTTTACATTTGTAAATGTGTACTTTTATATCCCTTCATGCCTGCCTATCACATACATTTTGCCCATATTTGCCTACTGCTTCTGATTGATTTGTTTGAGCCCTTTATAAATTAAAGGGATGAGCTCTTTGTCAGGTGCTATGCAAAAATTTACCCAGATTGTCACTTGTCTTTATTTTTTACTTCCCTGAAAAATCTTTCAATCTTCAGTTAAAATCAAATTTATGCATCTTTTTTCCTTATGGTATCAATTTATGCATCTTTTTTTTTTAACGGTATCCAGTTTTGTGATGCATACCTAAAGTTCCTCCATGCTCGAAGATTATTAAAGCAAAAAATGCACCTCTGTTTTCTTTTACTGTTTCTGTGGTTTACTTTTTTTTTCCTGTTGTGCATTTAGATCTCTGATACATCTGGAGTTAGTTTGGGTGTCAGGAAAAGGTCTTTAGTTATTATCAAGCTACCCCAGAGGGTATTGTTGAATGTCCTAAAAGATGCTGTCTCTTTTTTTGACTCTTACTCAGGAAAACAAAGTCTTTTTTTTTTTAATGATATCTTTTTATTGTGAATTTAAATGACTTTACAGTTAAAAAAAAAACCTAATGAATATTAAAGTAGTAGGTCACTTTAAATTTACTTTTGGTATCTTTTAATGTCCTTATCTGTATTTTACGTGGCTGTAATTGGTGTATACACTCCTTTACACTCTGATGGGTTTTTTGGTGGAAGCAAAGGCCTGGCCCTACCTCCCTCACCATGTCCGAACCCTAATGTCGACCCATATTTTATTAAAACAGTGTTTTTCAAACTGCATGAGTCATGAAATCAATTTAGTTAGTCACAACCAGCATTTTTAAAAAAGAAATAGAATATACTAAAAAACACTTTGCAGGGGCATATGGCATTATTTAAAAATTCATTTCCATGAAGCTGAACTTTGGAAAGCAAGGGACTATCTAAGCTGAAATACCAGAGGTCCATGAAATGGTATGAGAGTTACCTAGAAAATCCTTGGTGGGCAGGAGAAGGGTCTGATTCTCATTGCTGTGATTATTTCTGAAGTCATTTGAAAAATGTTCTTCAGATGAGATGTGGGTTTGACCTTTGGGAAGCTCAAAGTTAGAGAAACGAAATTAAGAAGAAGGCTGAAGATGCAAGAGTGAGTGAGAGGGAGGGAGCACCAGAGCAGCCTTGGTGAAGGTTTTTGAAAGGAAAGGTTGAATTTTTTTTTTTAATTAATAAGGAAAAACTGGTTGGCATCCAAAAGCACAGAAAAGGGGAGGGAAGTGCCTTTTCTCCTCACCCAGATTTGAACCTGATTCCAACCAGTTTGTCCTCTTCTCGTAGAATCCTTCTCTAATCCCAAATTCCACATCATCCCCGAGGGAAAGATCACAGAAGGAGATGACCTCCAGGTCAAGTGCACTGTTCAGGTGACGCACCAGGCCCAGTCTTTCCCGGAAATCATCATCCAGAAGGACAGGGAGATTGTCGCACACAACAGCTACAGCAGCGAGGCTGTGTACTCCGTGATGGCCACGACGGAGCACAACGGCAACTACACGTGCAAAGTGGAAGCCAGTCGCATATCCAAAGTCAGCAGCGTCATGGTCAACATCACAGGTAGGGTTGCTGGAGGGTGTCGGCCTGTGGCGGGCTTGCAAGGTCTCTGTGCTGGAATCCGGGCCGGGCAGTGAGAACTGGTTCTTCTGCTCCCGCGGGTCTGAATGGGTGTGTGCTGGCAGGGCCGTGGTGCTCATGGGGAAAAAGTCAGTGCGGAGCGAGTCAGCAGTCCGCTGTGGCGCTTGAGGGTGCAGGTTGGGCTGTCAGATCCCAGCCGGGCCACTCAGTACATCCGTGACCTTGAGTGAGTGACTGACCGTCTCCTTGCCACAATTCTGACGTTGGAGTGATGATAGCACTGCAGGACTGTCATAAGGACTAAATGCCATCGCCTTTCCTACAGAGCCGCATACAGAGTAAGCACTCAGCAAATGTTAACTGGCGTTTCTATTATTATGTCACATTTTTCTTCCCTTTGTGCCAAGTACTGTGCTAGATGTCTACATCCCTGTGGAGGTCCTCAGACAGGGTCAGGAGCAAGAAAGCATTACTAGACTCAAAAATCATAGTCATAGTTCCTCTTTATTGAATACTATTTGCCTGGTTTACATACATTTTGGTTTCAAGCTCATAATTATGCCATAAGGTAGGTATTATGATGCTGGCTTTATGGATGTAGAAACTGGAGCTGAGAAGTCAGGTCACTCACCCAATGATTACAGGATTGCTGAGTGGCAGAGCAAGAGTTACCCCCGGCCTGTTAGATTTCCAAACCCATGTACTTAGAAAGTTCCCCTGGATGCCTTCCTTCTTTACCTGGCTTTACTTTTCATTTACTTATTTAGTTTAATTTGGGGGCTGTACTAAGTCTTCATTGGAGAAGGAAATGGCAACCCACTCCAGTATTCTGGCCTGGAGAATCGCATGGACAGAGGAGCCCGGTGGGCTATAGTCCATGGGGCCACAAGGAGTTGGACACAACAGAGCATGCACAGACACACGTCTTCATTGCTGTGCTCTGGCGTCTCTAGTTGCAGTGTGTGGGCTTAGTTGCCCTGCTGAGGTTGAAATCCCTGACCGGGGATAGAACCCATGCCCCTTGCAGCAGAAGTGCAGGGTCTTTTTAAAAAATTTTTAATTGGAGGCTAATTACTTTACAGTATTGTAGTGGTCTTTGCCATACATTGACATGAATCAGCCATGGGTGTACATGTGTTTGTCATCCTGAACTCCCCTCCCACCTCCCTCCCCATCCCATTCCTCTGGGTCATCCCAGTGCACCAGCCCTGAGCACCCTGTCTCATGCATCGAACCTGGGCTGGCGATCTGTTTCACATATGATAATATACGTGTTTCAGTGCTATTCTTTCAAATCATCCCACCCTTGCCTTCTCTAGCAGAGTCCAAAAGACTGTTCTATACATCTGTGTCTCTTTAGCTGTCTCGCATATAGGGTCATCGTTACCATCTTTCTAAATTCCATATATATACATTAGTATACTGTATTGGGGTTTTTCTTTCTGACTTACTTTGCTCTGTATAATAGGCTCCAATTTCATCCACCTCATTAGAACTGATTCAAATGTATTCTTTTTAATGGCTGAGTAATATTCCATTGTGTATATGTACCACAGCTTTCTTATCCATTTATCTGCTGATGGACATCTAGGTTGCTTCCATGTCCTGGCTATTATAAACAGTGCTGCAAGAAGTGCAGAGTCTTAACCACTGGATGGCCAGGGAAGTCCCTACCTGACTTTACTTTTCAAAACAGCCTTTACCAGCAAAGAAAAAAATGTACTCTACCTTTCCCTGTGTATTGTATATCTTTAGGCACTAGAATGTTAAGGTGGTGAGGATATTATCTAGTTTATCCAGTGCTATATCGCTAACAGCTGAACAGTACCTGGCACACAGTAGCGTTTCAATACATATTTGTTGGATGAACAGATGAGCATAGGGTGACAGCATTCCAGAGGCAGAGAGAGTCGGCACTTTTTGGTTCCCAAGTGAAAGTGTTCATTCATTCATCATTCATTCGCTCATTTACTGAAAGCCTCCTCTGTGTCAATATAGACTGTACAGTCACAGTGACAGTCCTGCCAACTACCCAGCTAGGTGACTGGCAGATGTTGGATCCTGCTGGTCTATACCAGATTGGTTCCTGCTAGCGATTTAGTTTATTATTGATAATGGCAAATATTTTGATGGCACATTTTTTTAGATAAAATATAATTATCTTATTAGAGAACAGTACTCAGTTCAACGTATATTGAGCACCTTCTGTGTACTGGGAAACTTTGGGGACCTAGGGAGCTGCCCTATGCAGCTTTGAAGAATTTCACAGACATAAATAGATGATGAGAATGTGATGCAATGATCAACTCTGTTAAAGAGTCAGTTGTATGGCCATGGGAGCAGCAGGGACTGAGTGGCAAACACAAGGGCAATTTCAGGGGTTAGAGCAGTACTCCAACCCCTTGGACCAGGCTACTTTAGGGAAACATGAGGCATCTTTGGACCACAAGATACTATTGCTGTAGCTGATCCCACATCAGAAGTCTGAGTCATGCTGAGTATGCGAGTCAATCAGAAGGCGAGGCTCCCTGGCCCGAGAAAGCCCAGTGTTAGGCTCGGCCGGCCCTTCCCATCCCCTCAGTCTGATGCTCTGTGCTCCTGTTCCATGTAGAGCTGCCGGAGCCATGCCAGGGCTGGCAGGCAACTCCCCCACCTTCAAGTGCTGCAAGCCCTTGGACCTGGCTCCAGGCCCACTTCTGCAGCCTGTTCTCCACTTCCCTGTTGCTATCCAGCCTCATTATGAGTGGTTCTATAGAGTGATGTTGGAGGCTCACAATAATTTTGTGGATATCAAGATCATTGAATTAGTCATTTGTCTTTGGCTCGAAAGTGGGTTTCCATCACATTTTCAGACCCAGGTACTGCCAGGACTCGCAACTCTGTCCTGTCATCTCATCTCTACAATCACACCCTCACTCTGGCCCTCACACCAGGATGTCATAGGAGTTCCCCAAGCATCTCTGCTCCAATTCATCCTTCAACCAACCTGTAGGAGAAGCACCTGTTTGGCTTCATTGTTCCTGGGCTTTATGGGCTTCCTTGGTGGCTCAGCTGGTCAAAAAACAAAAACAAAAAAACCCGCTTGCCAATGCAGGAGATGAAAGAGACCTGGGTTTGATCCCTGGCTCAGGAAGAACCCCTGGAGAAGGGCATGGCAACCCACTCCAGTGTTCTTGCCTAGAAAATTCCATGGACAGAGGAGCCTGGCAGGCTATAGTCCATGGGCTCTCAAAGAGTTGGACATGACTGAGCATGCATGCACACACACACACACACACACACACACCCCTTCACCTTGACTCCAGCCCCTTCCAAACATCTCACCCCACTCTGCCTGGAATATTCTTTCTGCTTGGTCACTGGAAGACCTCTATTGCCCTTAAAGACCAAGCCCCAAATCTCCCTCTAGGAACCTCCCAGGAAGAGTCCCATGGTCACGCCTCAGTTCCCATCACACTCTTCTCCTGTCTGCAGGTCAACAGTCACTGTAAAGATTTAACACATCTGTCTTCATCATCCTGGGTGAGCTCTGGAAGGTCTATGGCTCAATTCATCTGACAACATTGATACTTGGCACAGAGCTTGGCACATTATAGGCACTCAGTAAATATTTGCTCAGTGGGTGAATGAAAGACTTATCCTTATTAACCCAAGTCATGGTCCAGCAGATCTGCTTACATCTCCTCCTTTACAAACAGATTATTCCCTAACAACATCTCATTCTTAATTCTAAACCATTGTCCACCCACCCCAGCAAGATGATTTGTATTTTTTGCATTTCTGTTTACTTATTTTTAAATGTGAAATCATTTCTGTGGGATTCTTCCTGAGGGTTTTTTTTTTTTTTTTACTTTTTTGGTATTTGTCCAATGAGATTGTAAGGTCTTTAAGGAGGTCAATTTCTTTCTTTTTTTTCCCCACTCCTAACCTAGAGCTTTGTTTTATTTCATTTCATTTCATTTGGCTGTGCCTGGTCTTAGTTGTGGCATGCTGGATTTTAGTTGCCCCTCTTAGTTGCGGCATGTGGGATCTAGTTCCCTGACCAGGGATCGAACCCAGGCCCCGTGTATTGGGAGTATAGAGTCTTAGCCACTGGATCACTGGAGAAGTCCCCTAACCTAGAGCTTTTGATGGTGATTTGAAAAGGGGTAAGTTGATGTTCATTATATGGAAGGAAAGAGGGGCGGAATGTGCCTCAATGAATTAATTATTAGGAGATCACCTGATTTACAGTGTTATTTTATTCCCTATCAAGGAAACTAAGAAGACACTGTGTAAATACATGATGGAAATGACTTCCATTTCCATCCATGGAATATCAGTGATCATCACAACAGTGTTGGTTTTTACTTCCAAACCTGTATGGCAGATCAAATCCTAAATATAGAGCAAAAGGTAGAATTTGACCCCTGAGTCCTGATTGCATTCTTAAACGCCTGAGGTTTTCTAAGAGAAACTTCAAGTCTCAGTCTCTTTCTCAATATGAAGACAGTCTCAAGGGCCACTGGCTCCTTCTTCCTTCTGCTTCAAGGGTCATAACCATGGAGTCAGTGCACATTTGCTTACATGAAGGAGCCAAGTCTCCGCAAAGGTTAAGTAGCTAATTAGTAATTCCTCTGCGGCCGAAAACAAACATTTACCATTATTATAAAATACTGGTATTGTTCAGAGAATATTTGTATTAGGAGATGATGAAACTTCTTGAAAGTCAACTGCTATCTTTAATACTCTAGACATCCAACCTACAGTATGATGCTAATAACTCCTTCCAGTAGCATAGACTGTTGAAACTTACCAAGTACTTGGCCTTGGGAGGCTCCAGGTGGCATCTTCATGCTCCTCCGTGAGAAGTGCTGGAGGAATGGTGGCCAAGCTGCAGCTTCTCCCCAACTCCACAGCATCACTCTGCTTCAAGCCCAGACCACACTCCCTCCTGCTTCCAGTCTGGGTCCCTCCAACCCCATCCACTCTCCTTCCAGAGATCTCCCTGCAGAACACATCTGAAGCTATCCCCGTGACTCAGACCATCCATGGCTCCCGTTGTCCCGAGGGTATAATCCACACTTTTTAAAATGTGATTCTCAAGTTCCTTGAAGATCTGCAAACCTTCTTTTTCTTCTCCCACAGCGTCCCAGGCTGCCTGAACTTTCGGGTGCTTGAACCTCTTGCCAGACCTTCCATATGTTATTCTCTCTTCCTGTGATACTTTCTATCTTTGCCTGGATAACATACCCCAGGAGTTTTCTCCTGCTTTCTTCAAGCCTACGTTCCATGTCCCCTCTATGGGCTCTACTGCAAACACTATCTGAAGAATCGCCCACGAGACTTAAGCACTTTAGAGTCAAGGACTGTTTATTTTCTACTGCTACCTCTCCTCTGCCAAGCACAGAGATGGCCTGAGATAAATACTTGTGGGATGAAATGAGTGAGTGGATGAATAAACGAGTGAATGCCTGAGTCATTACTTGCCACATTACAAATTGCCAAATTTTTCTAATCCATGTCTGTAAGATAAATTGGATTAATGAGGGAGGCAAACCTGCCATTGGAATCCCAGAAGAAGAATGAACCCTGGCTCTTGAATTGCGTGGTCATCAGGTTCCTGAGAAGCAAAGGGAAACTTTGTGCAGGAAGTGGGGAACTGGTTCTCCCAGAAGCACCTGGGCCACAGTCTTCTCCATATAGGGGACTAGGGAGCTGGTACCCACAAACATCTCACCCCATTCCCACTCACTGTTCTTTTCAGAGCTGTTTTCCAAGCCTAAGCTTGAGTCTTCAGCCATACATCTGGACCAGGGAGAAGATCTGAACCTGTGGTGCTCCATCCCAGGAGCACCTCCGGCCAACTTCACCATCCATAAGGGAGGCACGACTGTGTCACAGGCTCAAAATTTCACCAAGAGAGTGTCAGAGTGGGACAGCGGGTCATACACCTGTGTCGCAGGTGTCGGCAGGGTGGTCAAGAGAAGCAACACAGTCCAGATAACTGTGTGTGGTGAGTATGTCCTCGCTGGCCCTGAGAGCCTCTGGACCGAATGGGAGAAAGGGAGTTTATCTCTAGCCGCCACCCTCTCCAGTCTGAAGATGGTTCAGACTGAGGCAGGATAAAAACCCAGGGGGTTGGGGAGGGGGATTTGGGGAGAGAGGAGTGAAAACAAGAGGCTGAATAGCAGCAAGTGGGTATTTCTGCTCAGGATACAGGTGAGATGCATCAAGAGTGATGTCGTTGGCAAAAGTCACGTTTGTGGCTTTGTTGTGGCTGCATGCTGATGAAGTGGCCTCCAAATCCACAGGATTCTGCTGCTTGAACAGGCACACACCCAAAGGGTCAGGGAGGAAACACTGCTTAGCCAACGCTAAGCTTTAAGATTTTAGGGTTACTTTTTTGCCATACTGCCCGGTAAATGGGATCTTAGTTCCCTGACCAGGGATCGAACCTTCACCCTCTGCAATGGAAGCTCGGAGTCTTAACCACTGGACTGCCAGGGCAGTCCCTAGGTTCCAGTTTTTGATTACTCTCCTGGCTTACCCAAAGGGCTGGGACCCCTACTGGGTAGAAGTAGATATCTGGACCACTTAGAGCCGGGCTTCTCAGACTTGAATGTGCACAAAACACCTGGTTACAGCACAGGTTAGATTGGGGTCAGGTTTTGTGTCTTTAACCAGCGACTTGGAGATGCTGGTGCTGCTGGGCCCCGGACAACACTTTGAGGAGTGGGATGTGAAATGCCAGTCAAGCTGTCTGTGTCCCTGTTCTTATTCAACAGTCATGGTCCTTCAGTTTAGCCTTCAGTGTAAACCCAGCCAAGATTTTAGTCTCAACCGTAGCAGGATTTTAGCGGTCATCTACCCGACAAGGAAATAATATACAAGACAAATGTGGGTCATTCCATTGTAATTCTCTGTGGTGTTGTAGTTCTTGTGAGGAGGTCATTTCATCATATTAGCTTTATAAATAGGCTAATTTCTAAATAATGGCCTAGTATAAGTCTTATTTCTGAGGCATGAAACTTACTATCAGGAGAAGCTGAGGCACTGAATTTGTTTTAAAATATATTGTTGGATACTTGTTATATATTTTTTTTAACATTTTTCTTCTGTCTTTTCTCAAAACAAAGAAAGAGATATGAATGTGTGTGTATGTGTATATAAGATATGTGAAAATATAAGCATATATTTAGGGGGTTATAATGTTTTTCCTGAATTTGTGTCATCCTTTTTTGTTTATGTTATTCTCTTTCCCTCTCCCTCCTCAAGAATCTTAAAGAAGTCCCCTAAAGATAGAGATGGCAGCAGGCATTTTATTTTACTTCATTGTTTTTTAAAATTAATTTTTGTTGGAATATAGTTGATTTGCAATGTTGCATTAGTTTCAGCTATATAGCAAAGAGAATCGGTAGTACATAATAGATATCCACTCTTTTTTATATTCTATTCCCATATAGGCCATTACAGAGTATTGAATAGAGCTCCTTGTACTATACCATAGGTCCTTATTAGTTACCTCTTTTATATATGGTAATGTGTATATGTCAACCCAAGTCTCCCAGTTTACACCTCCCACTCCCCCCCTTTCCCCTTTGGTAACCCTGTTTGTTTTCTACATCTGTGAATCTTTTTCTGTTTTATAAATAGGTTCATTGGTACCATATTTTAAGATCCCACATGTAAGCAATATTATATGATATTTGTCTTTCTCTACCTGATGTACTTCACTAAGTGTGGCAATCTCTGGGTCCAGGCAGGCATTTTAAATTAGAGCAATGATAGAGAAAGCCAAGCCCAGAGTTTGCAGAAGGAACACCTTGGGCTGGATGTTTTGTCTCAGATTGTTTTTTTCTCTCTCTCTCTCTGTCATTCTAGAAATGCTTTCCAAGCCCAGTATTTTTCATGACTCCAGGTCTGAGGTGATAAAAGGACAGACCATTGAAGTCAGTTGTCAGTCCATAAACGGAACTGCACCCATTTTTTATCAGCTTTCAGACGCAAGTAAGCTTGTGGCGAATCAGAGCGTGGGCTCAAATGAGCCTGCAATATTCAGAGATAAACCCATGAAAGATGTAGAATACTGGTGCAGTGCAGATAATTGCCATTCCCACACCAAGATGTTCAGCGAAGTTCTGCGAGTCAAGGTGATAGGTAAGTCTCTGTGCTATGAGAAGAATCCATGGGGGACTGCAGTTTTAGTTCACATTTTCAAAGGTTTGAGAGTGAACAAGAGAAGTGAATGGTACCTGTGCAAAGTCCATAAACATGACACGTGCCAAAGCAAGACCAAAGCCCAAGTAACTGGGGCTGGAAAATATCTGGTGGTTAATCAATGTGGCTGGTATCATCTATTTTCAGAAACTTTTAAGTGAACTGTTGAAATATAAGTAAGGTGTCCCAACCTGAGGAAGCACAAAAGTTGTACTTTGAGGTTCCCTTAACATTTGCTCCTTTTCATTTATTTATTTGGCTGCCCTGGATCTTACGTGCAGCATGTAGAATCTTTAGTTGTGGCATATGGGAATCTAGCTCCCCAACCAAGGATCCAACCCAGGCCTCCTGCATTGGGAACGCAGAGTCTTAGCCACTGGGTCACCAGGGAAGTGTCACTTGCTCCTTTTTATAATGTTCTTTATTTATTTGGGTTGTGCTGGCTCTTCATTGCTGCACGTTTCTTCTCTAGTTGTGGTGAGTGGGAGCGACTCTTTGTGGCAGTGCGTGGCTTCTCATCACGGTGGCCCTTGTTTCAGAGCATGGGCTCTAGGCACTCGGGCTGCATTAGTTGCAGCTCCTGGGCTCTAGAGCACAGGCTCAACAGTTGTGGCACACAGGCTTAGTTGCTCTGCGGCATGTGAGATCTTCCCGGACCAGGGATCGAACCTGTGTATCCTGCATTGGCAGGTGGGTTCTTTACCACTGAGCCAGCAGGGAAGTCCCTGTTTGCCCCTTTTTAGATGAACTGACAGTCCTCTCTGGGAAATGTAGACCAGAACTCTTCTCTACCATGGACCCTGGACTCCTGGCAGGGCAAATTCTGTCATGTGTGGAAATCACAGCAGTCAGAGCTGCAGGCTAACAGTCCCTGGGGCTCTCATACTCAAGAGAAATATACCATTGTCCTGGGGTGAATAATTTTCCTTGAGCCTTGGTCTTGTACCTTTCAGAAGGCCTTAGGAGTGCCATTATTTGCATCTCTGAGATGTTCTGCATCTTGTTGTAAAAAGCTTAATAAGGCTTCCTCTTCCTCCTTTTTGTTTAAGGACTGCTTATCTACATGTGCCATGTGGACATCTTGAGTTGGATAGTGATTCCTCCTATAATTGTTTTTCAGGGAGGCACACTAGTTGGCTTGCAAGATCTCAGTTCCCTGATCAGGGATTTAACATGTGTCCTCTGCAGTGAAAACCCAGAATCCTAATCTGTAAACCTACTATTAATGTATAGCCTAAGAGTAACAATGAGGGAGACCTAGGTTTGATCCCTGGATTGGGAAGATCCCCTGGAGAAGGGAAAGGCTACCCTCTCCAGTATTCAGGCCTAGAGAATTCCATGGACTGCATAGTCCATGGGGTCGCCAAGAGTCAGACATGACTGAGTGACTTCATTTTACTGAGTAACTGTATTTCTCAAATTAGCATTGGTATCTAATAAGCATCTCATGCCATAGGTCATAACAACAACAACAAAAATAAGATATATTCTTTGTATCTCCTGATTAAATAGTGAAGAAACAGTTTAACATATTTGAATAACAATGCAAATAAATATTTAAAAAATGTTACCAGGCAACACATTATTAACTCGCCTGCAAACTCTCCTTACAGTGATAATAGGAATTAAGGGTATGAAAGATATCATCTAACTTGAGTGGGAAGAGCTGGGCCAGGAGCTAGAGCTCGATGATGGGTAGGCAGAGAGGGCTCAAGATGGTCTCTGGCCTCGTCAAATAGGTGATCAAAAGGCTCTGTGGAGTAGCTCAAAAGGCTGGGGATGGATGACTGGAAAGTCAGGTTGGGAATGGAGAGTCATTGGGTATAAACTTGTAGAGTAACTGAGACTAACTGTGAAGGGCATCAGGTGCCAGTCGGAAGAACTGGGGCTTTGTCCTGTGTGCAGTGAAGAGCTAGAATGAAGGAGGGCATGCTGAGAATTGGGTCTTGGGAAGATTCACCTGCTGGTCCCATCAGTTAGAAGGGGTGGGGACTTCAAACCTTAAAGTGCTTTAAGAAGCTAACGTAGAAGCCCACATGAAACTCTTGGTTTACAGCGGGTCAGTATTGGACTTCCCTTGTGGTCTAGTGGTTAAAAATCCACCTGCCAATGCAGGTTGGATCCCTGGTCTGGGAAGATTCCACATGCCACGGGGCAACTTAGGCTGTGGGCCACAGCTACTGAAGCCCACATGCTCTCCGAAACAAGAGAAGCCACCTCACAGAGAAGCCCTTGCACCACAACTAGAGAAAGTCTGCATGCAGCAACGAAAACCCAGTGCTGCCAAAAATGAATGAATTAAAAAAATAAAGTGGGTCAATATTAGTGGCTAATGTTTATGAGCGCTGATCATATGTCCAACCCTGTGTGAACTATGTTAGTAAATTAGTCCCATTCACACTTACAATAGCCACGTGAGCACCATATTCATTCATCCTTATTTTACAATGAGGCAACCAGGGCTTAAGATACACAGCTGGTGGCCTGAAATGCTGGGAATTTTGGCCGGGCCGTCTGGCTCCTAAGCCTGGCTTGCCACCACCCCCTTGTGCTTCACAAGAAGAGAGGCTGTCAGGTCAGGCTGCACCATTCAGGAGGCTTCCTTGTGATCAACTCCTGCCATCCCATGCCAGGCCAGGTGCTCCCTTTTGTTGGATCAGCAGCTCCATTTTCTGGCCACCCCCTGCACTCACAAGAGGGTGGTTCATAAATCAGATCCCGGTCTGCTGATCAGTTCATTCTCGCGCTAGTAGTAACATACTTGGGAAGACTAGGCTTGGGAAGTTTAGGCTCAGAATTTTGGTGGCTAGATATGGAGCAAAAGGGGCTATAGGAAGAAGGTGAGTTCTGCTCAGATTTGCTGGGAGTGAGAGGCTGGCAGGGCTTCTTGGTGGAAATGCACAGGTTAAAGTCAAGACACAGAATTCAGGGGAGTAACCTGGACTAGAGCTATGTATCTAAGCTTTAGATGCTATGTGTTTATGCATTAAATGTGCAGATAGAAGCTATCATGTAGGTGAAATCACCAAAGATGAGAAGGGAGATGGCAAACTGAGGACTGAATTTTGCAGAAAGTCTGAATTTAGGGAGCAAAAATTGATGAATAAAGAGAAAGTGGCAGGCGAGGAGGTAAGAGAGTCAGAGTGAGGCTTCACAGAGCCCAGGGGAAGCCGAAAAGGAAGGGCTGGGTGACAGGTGCGGGCCGTGGGGAGGCCAAGGACGGGAAGAAGGGGGAACGTCCAACGTGGATTTGACCTAGGGAAACTCGGGGAGGAGTTAGTTGGCAATCAGGTGACCTTCGAGTTTCTTCAAAACCAAAAATGCAGTGCAGTTTCAGAAGCAAAGCGACAGAATTCAGGTTCCCAAGCTCACGAGGAAGTGGGAAATAAGGACGTGAAAGCAATTTGGTTTAGATCATTCAGAGGAGGAGAAAGACAGGACAAGAGCTAGAGAAGGCAGTGTGTCAAGGTTATTTGCTTGTAAGATCTGGAAATGCCCTGCATCTGAGTTAAGCAGAGGGAGAGAAATATCACACACACAGTCACACATATAAACTCACCCAGCGTAGACCCCAATAGAACACATAAGCTAATCGTATAGTTAAGCTGAGTGGTCAGTAATATTGGATTGGCCAAAGGTTTGTTCAAGTTTTTCCATAACATCTATGTCCAACCCAATTCTTGAGGTGGTAAATGAAGGGGCGGGGCGGGGGGGGGTGTCCCTAGCCTCTTGTGTCTAATCAGGGTGTGAGGACAGGTGTCCGTTGCTGCCCTTCTGGGCTCATTGGGGGAGGAACTATCAAGAATGTGGGGTAACACAAGAGACTTGAGTAAAGGGCAAAGTCCAAGTCCGAGTCGTGATTACAGAAGGCTGGCCGTGACCAGCGGCCGTGTCGTGTTCCTCCCCTTGCCCACTTCTCTGCTCAGCACTAATCCTTCGCCTGCCTTCCAGCCCCAGTGGATGAAGCCCAGCTCTCTATCCTCTTGAAGGAGGAGGTGGAGTCTGGGAAGCCCATTGTGCTTCGCTGCTCCGTGAACGAAGGATCCGGTCCTATCACGTACAAGTTTTACAAAGGAAAGGAGACCAAACCCTTCTACCAAGAAACCTCAAATGCCACCCAGGCCCTTTGGCACGTGCCCACGGCCAGCAAGGAACACGAGGGACAGTATTACTGCACGGCCTCCAACAGAGCCAACCTTTCCAAACACGTGAGCCCAAGCAACACACTGAACGTCAGAGGTAAGTCAAGGTCTCAACAGCAGACCGCAGTGTAAGCTGCAAGCTCAAGGCCCGAAAGTGCATGTAAGAAGACTTGGCTGGGAACTTAGTGCATCTTGCTGTGGCCCAAGGGACTAACATCCACCAGGCTCTTTGGTGGCAGGTAGCAAAAGTCGACTCAAATTAAGTATGAAACAGGAAGTGAAAAAAAAAACAGGAAGTGATCATGATAAGGAATTAGAAGGATTTCACACAGTCCTCATTACAAACTTCTTGGTGCAGAGACACCAACTTGGATCAAGAGTCCACCCACGGACTGCCTATGGTTGAGGGGAGTGGGTCATGCAGATCGGACACGGTCAGAGGGGCCCACCTGTGTGGGTAGAGGATGATGTATAGAGAGGGAAGAGGGGTGAACAGACAGCTTAAAAAGCATCTTCTTCAGTCCTATGGTCCCCTCAGGTCACCACTGACTCTATAGCAGAAACAAACATTTCTGCACCTACTACAGAGTCCCTCAGAGGTAGATGCTCAGTGAAAGACACAGTGACAAGGATATAAAAATCAGTCTTATTTGTTGCTTAAGTGAAGTGAAGTGAAGTGAAAGAAACTCAGTCGTATCCGACTCTGCAATCCTATGGACTCTATAGTCCATGGAATTCTCTTGGCCAGAATACTGGAGTGGGTAGCCGTTCCCTTCTCCAGGGGATCTTCCCAACCCAGGGATCAAACCCAGGTCTACCACATTGCAGGTGGATTCTTTACCATCTGAGCCACCAGGGAAGCCCATTTGTTGCTTAAGGCTATACTATTTCTTGCTGGCAGAGGGATAAACATATTTTTTTTTAATTTTTTCTTTTCTTTTTTTTTTTCCATTTCCAGTCTATCTTGCCCCCTGGAAGAAAGGACTCATCGCAGTGGTGGTCATCGGAGTGATCATTGCCACCTTGGTATTTGGAGCCAGATACTATTTTCTGAAGAAAGCCAAGGGTGAGCATAGTCCTTTCATTCCATCCTGCCAGGCTGCCCTGCCAGGGAACCTGCCATGGAGGTGAGGGGATTCAGCCTCATGGGAAGCTTGTGCCCTGGTCCAGTGGGAGCTGAGGGCATGTGGCTGATGACACTTGTTTTCCTCCTGGGGTGTCACCTTCCTAACCAAAGATGTTGCCTTTGGTGGGTGTGAGCTTTTACTGCCCCTTGGAGTTAGCCAGGCATGAGTGAAAGCCTTTGCTTTCTGAGTTGGGCCCCCAGGAAAAGACAAATTTGGGGGGAATGTTGCATCTACATGTGATCAAAAGTAGCCCTTCGTGTGGGGCTTTGGCCACACCTAGTCCTACAGCTGGTAGAGTTCAGCATGAGTGGAGACCCCCCCCCACCCCACTGAATGCCTCCCAGCCAATCTTCTGGTTGTGCTATGATTTCTACCCTATACTTGGGGTTAGCCATACAAGGAAGGGAAGCCAGGATTATCCACTGACACTGAGGAATCAGTCAACTAAGCAAGACTCAAGCAAAAGGGCGCAGCATCAGTTAAGTCTGCAAAAAAATAATTTTTTTCAAATTTTGTGTATTTATTTTGGCTGTGCTGGTTCTTCATTGCTGCATAGGCTTTCTCTAGTTGCAGGGAGACGGGACGACTCTGTTGCAGTGCTCGGGCTTCTCACTACAGTGGTTTCTCTTGTTGCGGAGCAGGGGTTCTAGAGTGAGCAGGCAGTAGTAGTTGCAGCTCGTGGGCTCTAGAGCACAGGCTCAGTTGTTGTGGTGCACCGGCTTTGTTGCCCCCGAGGCATGTGAAATCTTCTGGGACCAGGGATCGAACCCACGTCCCCTGCATTGGAAGGCAGATTCTTTACCACTGGACCCCCCAGGGAAGCCCTGCAACATTTTTTTGAGATAAGGCAGGTTCTGTTGGAGACCCCTGGGGCTGCTGCTGGGGACAGGAGGGACCAGATGAGATGAGGCGGGTTTTTTGCAAAGCAGCCCCTCCGGGAAAATGGTCAGGACAAACCGCTTCCTCAGGGTCAGTCTGGCCTTTGTCTCAGGCCAGTTTGGGATTCAAAGCATGGGGACTGATTTAACCTTTACTTTGGGGAAGGTCTTGGAGCAAAGAGATAGTCCCCCATTTATCTGGCTCATCTGTTTCCTGTGCTATCATCTTCTTTGCCACATTCCACGAAGGGAAGTTGCTCCTGGTTGAAATGCCAATTTCAGGGGAAATGATGTGAAATCTCTTGGTGTGAGACCAAGAGAAGACCTACCTTGCTTATTTGTTTGTATTCCTTAAAAAAAAAAAAAACTGTGACTTATATTTGGCTTTCTGTTTTCTCTTTTTATGGGTGTTCAATCTTCAAAAAAAAAAAAAAGTCCAACATGGTTGAAATGAGTGTTCCCATCTGATGTGGATGTGGGTTCTTTATTCTGACTTTGGTTCTTCTCTTTGTCTTTTAAAGCCAAGCAGATGCCGGTGGAGATGTCCAGGTCAGTGTCTTTTGGAAGAGGGGAGGCTGATCTGTGGGTGTGGATGGACTTGCTTAGCAAGGATTTCTGTTGTTAGGAAGTCTTCAGTGGTTCTTGGCAAACTCAAATAATTTAGGACCTTGAGTGCAAGCTGTGGAGGGGGTGGTGCGTGTATGTAAGATTGCCAACTGTCCTTCAGGAGAAAGAATGGCTTTATTCTGAGATCATGTCCTTTCTACACTTTTCCTTATGAAATTATGGTGGTAGATGGAATTTAAAATTTTTAAACTTAATTGGCAAAATAGAGTTTCCTTAAACAATGGTTGTACTATTCTTACTGTTTTTGAGATCTAAACTCCCCAAATATGGAAACTATCTCTCTGTTCCCGAGAGAAAACTTTAACACAGGATAAGGAATCCCCTCCCGACATGGGATTCACCCAATAAAGGATTCCTCGTGTCCATGCATCCTTTGGTCCGGACACTGATTTCAGTGGCAAAAAGGTTTTTGTCTGATAATCATAGAACTGAAGAAAGCATGAGTTCCAAATAAGAGAATAAAATTTTCTCATTGCAGAAAACTCCTCCTGGTTTTTCTCATGCTCTTTCTTTGACGATGTTGTTAGTTTGGAGTTAGAGCCAAGAAAAATGTTACTTCTTTTCCCCTTTTTAAATTTCAATTTAAGGCCAGCCGTACCGCTTCTGAACTCCAACAATGAGAAGACATCGTCAGATGCCAGTACCGAAGCCGACAGACATTATGGTACCATCATGGTTTTGTGCAGTTGTTAAGAGTTTTTCCAAGCTTGCTCCCCATCTCCTATCCTTCTGAGAAGCAGAATCCGTGGGCGGTAGGGTGAGGCTGGACGGGAAATTCTGGCTTCAGGCATAGGCGCCTAATCTAATCATTCATTGGGTGGTGGGCTAGGAAGCAAAACAAAAACTTCAGAAGAAAGGCAGAACATAGTGTTCTAACTTCACCACCTTTTAAATATCCCAAGAACGAAAGGTGGGGAATAATTACAATGCTGTGGACAACCACGTGAGTTCTTTTCAAACACGGGACACTGCCCACGTGTAATCATGTTCCATTTGTAAGATAGAAACCAGCTATGAAAAAAAAAAAAAAAAGAAACCAGCTATGAAATGAAGGCACTGGTAAAACATCTCAGATGAAATTATTTACTGCAAGCACAAGGCAATTTCAAACTTGCCACAATGGGAAACGAATTTATAAAGATTTCACTGTTAGTAGGTGCACTTAAAATAAAGAAGTGGTACAATCAAAGAATACTTAGTTGTGAGGTTTATTGCAAGCTTGAGAGTCAGCTCAACCGGGAGCCAGTTCTGGGAGTTCTTTTCTTTTCTTTTTTTTTTAAATTTATTACTGGCTACACTGGGTCTTTATTACTGTGTGCAGGCTTTCTTTCATTATGGAGAGTGGGGGCTTCTCTCTAGTTGTGATGTGCAGGCTTCTCATTGTGGTGGTGTCTCTTGCTGTGGAGCCTGGGCTGTAAGGCATGCCGGCTTCAGTAGTTGCTCTACATGGGCTCATAGTTGTGGGCTTCAGAGCACAAGCTCAGTAGTTGTAATGCGTGGACTTAGCTACCCCACAGCATGTGGGAGCTTCCCAGACCAGAGATGGAACTGGGGTCCCCTGCATTGCAGGGAGGATTCTTAACCACCTGACCACCAGGGAAGCCCCAGGGAGTTCTTAATCCCGTTAGATCTTGGAGAAAATTATTCAAGCCCTTAGCAGGTGTGCTGGCTTTTTCCCAGAGCGGGCCATGATTACATCACACAAAGAGTTCTGTCCCAGATAGCTTTGGGAGTTGAACACTGATGTTCTTTTTTAATTTTGTAACAGTGTTCCACAAAATAAGAAATTTTTAGAATACCCTCTTTACAGGGAAGTCTTGAGAAATATTTTGACAAAGGAGCAATTCCTATTGGACAGAATCACAAACTTTTTAAAAAGTAAAACAAAATATTTGTCATAATAGAAGTAATGTGCCAATAAAGAGAAGAGAGCAAATACGTCATTTGAGAAACTCCGTTCAGAAAAATTTGGTGGATGTTTAGCAAAAAGTAATCCAATGCTATAGAGAAAATACCTCTTTCTGGTATAAAGTGGGTTCTGTTGGTAATATGTATTATGTATACATAAGTATGGGCTTCCCTGGTGGCTCAGATGGTAAAGAATCTGCCTGCAGTGCAGGTTCGATCCCTGGGTTGGGAAGATCCTCTGGAGAAGAGAATGGCTACCTACTCCCATATTCTTACCAGGAGAATTCCATGGACAGAGGAGCCTTGCAGTCTACAGTCTGGGGTGGCAAAGAGTTGGACACGACTGAGCGATTAACATACATAAGTACAAAGATATGATACTTTAAATACTGATACTTATATTAAAATAGAATTTCCTCTCAAATTTCCAAAATGCAGGAACTACTACAATTCTTATTATATTTTTCTCTGCATGGATTATTTTAGCTTATAAATATATGTTAGTAATCACAAATCACAAAGTGCATACATACTCAGTCACTCACTTGTGTCCTATTCTTTGTAACCCTATGGGATATAGCCCATCAGGCTCCTCTGTCCATGGAAATTTCCAGGCAGGAGTACTGGAGTAGGTTGCCATTTCCAGCTCCAAGGGAAATTCCTGACCAAGGGATTGAACCCACATCTCCTGCGTCTCCTGCATTGGCAGGCAATTTCTTTACCACTGCACCACCTGAAAAGCCCAGTAATCGTGACAGTAATTAGTAAATACATAATGGCATGGAATGGAAAACCATGTGCTCTTCAGGGATAGTATCTATAGCATTCGTAAGAATTTTTTCTAATAAAGAACAACTTGGTTAAAAAAAAAAAAAAATCAAAGAATTTTCCCCTTGCCCAGGTGGCAGCCTGAGGTATTGCAGTATCTTTAAACCATGTTCTCATGGACCCAGTTCTCTAGATAGAAAGGGTTAGTTCACCAGTATCCTTCATGCCTCTTGTCACTGACTCATCCCTTCTAGAATTAAGCTTACTTTCCTTTGAAATTGCTTCTAGTGAACAATTGTGAATTTTGAACCATTCATAAATAGACGTGTCCTTCCCGTGTGATGGTGGACATCACACCGGTTTTAGAAAGACACCACACTGTGGGTTGGATGGGGCCCAGGGGCACTGGGAGGGCATTCAGAACCCAGATACACTGTGGTTGCCAACTACACTAAAGAATTTGGCCTGACTTCTCTTGTTAGTGGCACTGAGATGTTTACAATTTATGTAGAAAGCTAGGAACTCCATGGCCTCTCACAATGATTGCTATTTTTCAACTAGGTTACAATGAAGATGTTGGAAACCATGCAGTGAAGCCATTAAATGAAAATAAAGGTAATTATCTAATTTTTTAAAAATTAGAAACCTTTGCTTTTATGTCAAAGATGCCTAGGAAAAGAACTAAAACTGTTCAGACCCCATGGCTGTTTTCTCACCTCTTCTAAATGGAGATGGCTCTTGGCTTTTTCCAAAGACACTATCTAGTATCTGTTGTTACTTGTCTTAAAAGTAAGCAGCATTGCTATTTTATTTTTCATGTGTATTTTTCATTTTTATTAGACATTTAGTAGATACAAAATAATGTTTATAACATGCAAAAAATGTAAACAATAGCAATTCAATAAATACCTACCCATTATCCTTAAAGAAAAAAAAAGAACATTTCTACTATGTGTATTTCTCCCCACCCCAGCCTCTTAACACTTTTTTTTTGCCAGCTTTACTGAGATACACTTGTCATATAACATTGTATAAATTAAAGTATACAATATTATGGTTTGCAGTAACTCTATATTGGAAAAAACACCTGTGCCTCTGCTATTCAAGAGAAGGGAGAGCTTCCTGACTTGTTTAGTAGCCCATTCTGAGATCAGGAAGTTCCATTTTGGGTGTAACTTGATTTCCTATGCGTATGCCTCACACTCTCCAAGCACTTTGAGGTTGGGGATCCCGTTCCTCATTTCCTGAGATCCTCACCGTCTTGGAGAAAGTGTTCTGTGCCTGTGGTCAAGGAGAGGGCTTCTAGAGGTAACTGCTGTGACCCATGCTGGCTGGATTCTGTATCTACTTTGCAAGTTTGCCCACTGTGGTAACAGTGGGACCTGACCTGGAGGGTCCTTCCACATCCTGGGAGTGCAGGCTTCCTCACTACCTCACTCAGTCCGAGTTTTCTCATCCACTTAGAGTGGCACTAACCCTGTGTCTGGTTTCCCCGTTAAAAAATACCGATTAATTTGATCACATGAGTAGAAACATCTAATGTGGCCTGAGTCTCCGCCCTGGCACCCGCGACCCAAGGAGACCCTGTCTAACCACAGGCTGCTGTGTTTCTTTCGAGCAGAGCCTCTAACCTTGGACGTGGAGTACACGGAAGTGGAAGTGACCTCCCCAGAGCCTCACCGAGGTAACGCCATCCCTCGAGGATCGGATCCCCCACATTTTGCTGTCTGTTTGGGTGTAGATGCTGGACTGGACTGAGCTGTGGCCCCGGGACAAGAGTCCAGTCACTGTCGTCACTCAGTAGGGAGGTGGCCAGCAGACAGGCAGGGTGAACATGCCCGAGGCAGGAGCAGTGCCCCGCGTCCAGGCTTAGAGATGTACAATTGCATTATTATTTACCATACCACTAAAGACGGGTGTGTTTTATTGAGCAGTTACTAGGTGCTAAGACATGGGCGTGTTAAGAGACTGTTTGTGGGCTGCCTCACCTCCGGGCGTTTGGGTGTTCTTCCAGAAGGAACCCCCTTGCCCCAGTCCAGTACCTTCCTTAAAAAAAATTGCTTACAGACTGAGCTTGTGTAACTGAAATGTGTGTTTGAAGGAGCGAGCAAGGGCTTGGCTATTTAAGGGACAAAGGCTTTTGAAAGCAGAGAATCTCTCCATAGAAACAGTGGCACCAGCATTATGTGTGTGTGTCTGCTGAGTCGTGTCCGACTCTTTGCAACCTTATGGACTGTAGCTAGCCAGGCTCTTCTGTCCACGGGATTCTCCAGGCAAGAATACTAGAGTGGGTTGCCATTTCCTCCTCCAGTGGATCTTCCCAACCCAAGGACTGAACCCGCAAAATCCTGTGTCTCCTGCACTGGCAGGCAGATTCTTTTACCACTGAGCCACCTAACTTTGTGTTTTATTTTTCTGTGTGTGGTTCTCCTGGGCAGGCTGGTTGGGGGACCAGCCCCTGTCTCTGGTCCTGCGCTGGAGAGACTGACTCAGGGTGGGTTAAGTCCACAGCAAGTGCTAGAACATCAATCTCAGTTGCTTCTGGCACCACAAAAAGACATGCATATCTACCTAAGCCTCCTCAGCTCCCCCAGAGGCTGCCACACCAAGGAAGCAGCCATCCAGCCTTCCTGCCCTCCTGGGAAGCTCATTAGGACTGTTGCCAAGCACCCCACTTCCTGCTGAGGCTGAGGCCAAACCGTGTTCACTCAGCCTGGCACACCCAGGACTGCCTTGCAGATCACGCCTCTGTCGCCTCAGCCAAAGGCACACAGTGAGGGCATTCTCCGGCTCCATGATCTGGAAGAAGTTTGTGGGTCCTTCCTTCCTCCTCTGCTTAGCTCAGTTCCAGGTACCATGTCTGCAGATGTGTGTGTGGAATCTTCCAGGCAAGGCCGTCCCCTGGGGCTAGGTGCTGCCCCACGGGGCCACGGGGCCTGCAAGTCTCAGTCAGCCGGGCCCCTGAGCTGATACTGCCCACCTGCTGGCCTCTCAGGGCGTCCCAGTTCTATATTTAGGCTGGATGGGGGCAGAGGTGGGGGCCACGGCCGGCCTGAAGTTCTCTCCCTCATTGTTTCATGGTAAAGTGATTTGCTTGTTGGGTTAACAAATTAAGGGCCCATGATGGAGCAGCCCCAGCACAAGCATCGAGGATGACATATGTGGGCCCCCTCTCATGGAGGTGTGGCCTCTGAGGGAGTCAGGGATGAGCAGATGGTAGCGGGTTAGAGTCAGAGCTTGCGGGAAGAGTGGGGAGTGAGGAGAAGGCCTGCAAGGTGGTGCCTCTTCTGGGTGGTCCCAGAAGGCCGGTCAGAGGGGTGGCCTTTGAGCTGGGGCCTGAAGGGCACAGAGAAGGTGGCCCCACCAAGAGGAAGGAGGGCTAGGAGGACTAGGAGATGTGCAGGGCAGTGGGAGGTGGCCTTGAGCTTGGCTAATTTAAAGATCTGAAAGAAGACCTTACGGGATCCTTAAACGACAGTTTCGGATCCTTAAATGTCTGCAGAGCGAGTGAGAGGGAGCCAAGGCAGATGCAGCTGGAAGGACCGGGTGGGGCCACCAAAGTTCTCTTTCTATTCTAGTCCACCGAGACCAGACTGGGGGCCTTTGGAAGCCTTTAAGCAGCCAACTTCCTTCTTTTAAAAGTGATCCTGTGGTCCCTAGGACTGGTATGGAGGGCGGATTAAAGGGAACAAAAACTGAAGCCAGGCGAGAGGAGATGCGGATGGAGCCAAGGTGCTGGCAACGGATAGATTCTGGACATATGTTAGAGTCAGACCATAACCCTGGACGAGACATTCACGGCCAGGATGAGGGAGACAGAATTTCTACACCTTTCTTGACTGAACAACTGCATGGATGTTCACGATGCATGCAATTGGGAGCACAGGCTCAGGGGGAGCCTGGTTTAATCGGGTTAAATGTGAGAGCCTGAGAGGGGGCGGTGCCAGGGCCCGTGGCTCAGAACTGAGTCTGGGTGGGTTGTGGCTGATGGGATTTTAGGGAGGCTCCTCGCCAGCCTTCCCGGGTCTGGCCTGAGGTCCTCCATCCCTGTGCCTCGTGGGCTCCATCCCATGTAAACAGCTCACTTCCTCCTAAGGGAGCTTCAGGCTTGGAAGGAAAAGGGAACCTCAACAAGAGGTCAGGGCTGCATGTGCATGGGAACGTCCGCTGTCCTCCATGCCCCACCAAGCACTCAAGCAGAGAGTGATTGCCCTGGGCTCTGGCCTTGCAGATCTCTTTAAAAAAAATTATTTATTTATCTGGCTGCGCCAGGTCTTAGTTGCAGCCTGCAGTAGCATGCAGGATCTTTAGTTGTGGCATGCGAACTCTTAATTGCGGCATGTGGGATCTAGTTCCCCGACCAGGGATCGAACCCGGGCCCCCTGCACTGGGAGCTCGGAGTCTTAGCCGCTGGACCACCAGGGAAGTCCCTGGCCCCTCAAGGTTCTCATACTGGTCCCAGAGAGCCAGGCGAGGTGGAATGGTGAGGCCTGTACACAAGGCCTCGAAGGCTCAAGGTTGAAGGAAACTGAAGCAAGAAGAAGGAAACAGGGCTTTGTCCTCAGAAAAGCGTCTGTTTTCCATTCCTTGGGGAGGCTTTCCATGTTGGCAGCATCTGGTTTTCTTGCTTGCAGGTAGGGAGGAAGGGGTTGAAGGGAAAAGAGGATTCCCGGGACCGGATGAAGCAGGGGTGGTTTCGTGCCCAGTCATGCAGCTGCGGAGTCGGAACCCCTGGGGGGACTTTCCCCAGTTTGCACAGAAGTGCTGAGTGGCCTGCGGGGTCCTCGGCAGACCAGGGTGAAAATGGGAAGTCTCTAGAAGACTCCAGTTGTTTTCTGGACACAGCCTTCTCGACAGCTAAGGAACAGTGGGGGAGTCCGGCCCAGGATGGTGTCTGCCTGCTCACTCCCGCGGGTGGGGCGTGGAGCGTAACTAGGTAGGAAGAAGACTGTGGGTTCAAGGCCACTGGTAGACTTGACCTGGTCTTGGCCAACCCAGTTCCCTATTGTCCAGGCCTCCCTCCTCTACAGACGGGCTGGAGGAAGGAAAGGAGACCAGTCCAGCTCCAACCGTGGCTGGCGGCTGACCAAGTGGTCACTCGCAGGTGGAGGAGGGGTGGGAAGGAACTCGTTAAATCCCGGTTTGCAGCCTGTTTGCTCTGAGACCAGTTGCTGGGAAAACCCCGTGACGTTGAAGCCATCTCTTTCTCTGTTGAACAGAGAAAAACAGAAGCCCAAACAAAGCCCCTCCGGAAACATCCCTGACAGCAGAGACAAACAGCCTGTTGGCCTGGTTTAGTCATTAGCAGGCAGCTGCTGCCTCGGAGCAGCAGGAGGAGGCAGGGAGCTCTCAGTGAGCTGCAAACTTCGTCCACATGCCCAGGGGAGCCAGGAGGGCAGGGGTGGGGGGGTACCACTGGAGCAGCTGCAACTCTGACAGCTTAACCAATAAGTGAAAACTCCCCGTGCCCTGGCTGATGCACAGAGTGATGGGATAAAAGGGAGCCAGGTGCAGCTCCTTGGATCCAGAGGGTGTCAGAGCGTCCCCAAGGTGACCAGAGGTCCCTTGGGAGCCCCTTACATGCCTGGAGATGGTGGAGTTCCCAAGAGTGTCCAGGCCCCCAGGCTTGGCTGCCCAGTCCCTTCCCTCCCTCTGCTGAGCCCGTTGTGGAGGATTGCACACGCTCCGCTGATGTCCTAGAGCCTTATCACAGCACTGTTTGCAAGTTGCCCGCCCCAGAGCCTGGAGTTCCAAAAGCTGGAGCCAGGTCCCCATTCACTTTTTCTGCTTCCACGGTGCCCGGCACACAGTAGGTGTTAGGACCATGTTGAATGAGTGAGTGTCCAGGCCTGACATTGAGTGGAGAGTCCCTCAGGGATGGGGTAGACCCCCCACCCACCCTGGCAGACATGGGGATTGCTGGAGCCCCCCTCTACACCCCCAGGTCTGATGCCATGGAGAGAGAGTGGAGAGTGGGCATCTCTGCTTGCCCTCTTGGAGAAAGATGGGTGTCCCAGTGGGGGGTACCTTGTAGCTCAGCCACTCGGCTGTTGGTGCCCTGGGGGAGCCACTATGATGCCTTCTGCAAGGTCCTGACACCCCGAGGGCCCCAAGTTCAGCAGCTGTACTGAACTGCCTCCCAAGCTTTCTCCTGGCATTCAGGTCATGAACTAGGAACCACCACCATTTAGTATATAGGGAATGATTGTGATTTTCATCCTAAGACCTAAAACTTCAATGATCAGGCTGATCATGTAAAACCTTTCGGAAGGTCTGAGACAGAGACCCCTTCAGGGAGACTGACTGTTGTCTTCACTGTCCCATCAAACCTTGCCTTCAGGTAGATGTGCAAGGTCTGGTATCTGGAGGAACACAAGACCCAAGACGCTGCCCTAGAGGAGTGGGGGGTTCACCACGGGAGACGGTTGTAGAGGCAAGTGGAGTCAGTGTCATGGGCAAGTGTCCCCAAAGTGCTGTGGGAGCCCATGATACTGCCCAGGGCCCAGGAAAGAGGGGCGTATGGAAGGGAAGATGTAGGTGTGTGAGGGTGTGTGCACCCAAGTGTAGGAGCAAAGCTTGCCCTGGGGCCTGTAGGACAAGGAGGAATGGGCCAAAACAAAAGGGCCTTGCAGTCAGTGGAGGAGTGCATCAGGGCATGGGAGAGGGGAGTCTGGTGAGTTGAGGGTATCTTGGTGTAGTTAGAATCAATGTATGTGCCCCGGCCATCTGCCATGGAGGAAGGCGACGTCCAGGTGGCATTGTCCATGGTGGTAGGAAGCGTCACCCAGTCTAGGGTTCCATTTCCTGATCTGTAGAGGGGGAATCCTGGCCACAGAGCACCAGGCGTTTTTCTACAATAAGGCCTCCTGGTCCTTTGTGCAAATGAGAGGGAAGTGGCAGGTTCCATCCTGAGGGTGTGAGTATGTACAGTGCGTGTAGATAACACTGTGAATGTGTGCATATGTGTGTATACACAACCTGTGCATGTACATCACTTTAAACAGATGGCTGTACTGGGAGTTCTTTGTCTCCTAAACCCTTGAGTCTCCCCTGGGTGTAACCTACACCTTAGGTTGGTTATCTTGTCTGCTGTTCAGGAAGAGTCCAGACCAGAGGATCTCAACCCTGACTGCATATTAGAACCCCCTAGGAAGCTCTTTCCTGGAGGAGGGCAAGGCAACCCACTCCAGTATTCTTGTCTGGAGAATCCAGTGGACAGAGGAGCCTGGTGGGCTATTGTCCATGGGGTCGCAAAAAGTCAGACACGACTGAAGCGACTGAGCATGCACAGGAAGCTCTTAAAAGACCAGTGCCAGGGCCCACCCTGGACTGTCTCAATCAGAATCTGCACTGAGGCCAAGGTTTTCGGCATTTGAAATCAACCAGCCCAGCTTCTAGTGTTGTGAGCGGGTCTCCGCTGATCCTTAGAGGCTCAGTGATGCCCAGGCTCTAACCCAGACTTTCACAAGGGTGACTGGAAGACCCTATCCCGGCCTCCTAGGACAGGGCTGGCAGAGCAGCTGGACACGGGGTCACAGTGGCAGAGAAGGAGGGAGGGGGGCCGCAGAGCTGGAGACTCCAGGTCTGCATGGGGGGCACCTCTATCCACACCCCCAGGGTCCAGGGTCCCGCAGTGGCCTGTCGGTCTTGTACTTCCAGGCTGAGAGACCAGGATCTTCCAGGAAGTGGCCCGGGCTCAGCGGTGACAAGGACGCCAGGGGCCCCTGCAGACAGCACTCATGGGGCAGGCCATGGGGTGGACCGTGGGGGTACCGCATTGCTTGGGGCACCCCAACATTCTCCTGCTTCAGCAGTGGCTGACCTGGAGCCCATAGGTGGCTGCTGACCTGTGCTTGGCCCCTTTCCAGGTCTGGAAACAAAGGGCACAGAGACGGTATATAGTGAAATCCGGAAAGCTGATCCTGGTGAGTGAGGGTCCCCCACACCCCCCACCTGGGTCGGGGGGAGGGCACTTCCTACAATTTCATCCATGGGATCTCGGGTGTGGACCGGGGAAAGAAGGTGCAGAGGTGGCCAAAGAGAGTGCAGACAGAGTTGGACGGGAGTTGTCGATGGTCTCTCCCCACCACCCTGAAAAAGTGGCCATGTGTACTATTATGTAGTTGATGAACACTTACTGAGGGCGGGCTGCACGCCAGACAAACGGAACCTCACTTGTTCACACCCAGCTAAGGGCCAGGCGGACTGGAGCGTGTCCTGGAGCCACAGGGTGCTCATGAGGCGCCCAACAGCGTTCCGGGCACCCCCGACCCAGACAGAAGAGGCGCAGTCCTACCTGCCTCTTCTCAGGGGCCTTGCCTGCTCCTCACACAGGCCCCGGTGCACGGGGCTCCTGAAGGCCTTAGGCAGAGTCAGAGCTTTGCTTGGGAGATATTCAGTAGCTACATCCTTTCTGTGAGCACGTTGACTCTGGGCTAGGGAGGGCGGTAGGGATTCACTTCCCCTTCCTGTGATTTCTGCCCAGACCCCACCTCATTCCTTGCCTTTACTGCTTCCTCTCAGAGAGCTTTCCCCAGGGCTGGGCTGACAAGGAACTTCAGCCGTGCCTAACAATATCATTTTTGTGTAATGATTCTAGTCCATGCTCAGGAAATGAAATCCACAAAGAACCACTTTTATTTACTTAATTAAAAAAATTTTTTTATTGGCGTAGAGTTGATATACAATGTTGTGTTAGCTTCAGGTGTATAGCAAAGTGAATCAGTGATACATATGCATACATCCACTCATTTTAGATTCTTTTCCTATATAGGTTATCACAGAGTCTAGAATAGAGTTCCCTGTGCCGTACAGTAGGTTCTTATTATTGTTCAGTTGCTCAGTTTTTCCAGCTCTTTGCAAACCCATGGACTGTGGCACACCAGGCTTCCCTGTCCTTCACTATCTCCCAGAGTTTGCTCAAACTCACGTCCGTTGAGTTGGTGATGCCATCCAACCATCTCATCCTCTGTCACCCCCTTCTCCTTCTGTTTCTTGTTAGTTATCTATTTTTTAAAATTTTTATTCAACTTTTGTTGATTTATAATATGTTAGTTTCAGGTGTGCAGCAAACTAGAATCACTCCCGACAATCTCATTTTTTGGTGTAATTATTCTATTTCATTCTCATGATATGACATCTACCCAAGAACCACTTTTATTTATTTTTATTTCTTCATTGAAATCTAGCTGATGGACAGTATTATGTTATGTTCAGATTTACTATATAAAGGTTTGGCATTTTATTTATTAAATGATCACCACCTAGTAACCATCTGCTCCCATACAGAGTACAATATTATTGGCCATCACCTTCCTTATGTGATGTATTACATTGAAAATAAGTCACAACCCAAAAAGCATAAACATTCCGAGGGAAAACAGTCACTATGCAGATATCTTTCTCTGTACAATAGACCTCTATTTAAGTGGATTCTTTGAAAGGCAATTATTCAAACCAAGGGTGGTCCACAGACAGGTAGCAACGGTGGTCTCAGGCCCAACCCAGACCCACAGAATCAGAATCTGTACTCCCAACAAAGTCCCACATATTTCTGATGCTGCCAATATTTGAAAAGCACTGTCTTACCTCAAGAGTCTACTTTCTCTCAACTAGGAATCACCCTTTAACCGATCTTTTAAAAGGTGGTATTTTTTTTTTAATATTCTTTTTTTCCATTTATTTTTATTAGTTGGAGGCTAATTACTTTACAATATTGTAGTGGTTTTTGCCATACATTGACATGAATCAGCCATGGATTTACATGTGTTCCCCATCCTGATCCCCCCTCCCTAAAAGGTGATATTTTCATGATTAGATCAGAAACTCAGCCCCATGGGGAACGTGACACTGACCGAATAATTTTTGAAAACGATTTCCTGGGTGATTTTTAGCTTCAATATCTCATTTTGGATTCTTAGTATTATTCAGAGCTAGCAAAACACAAATTCAGAAACAGGCTTCCTCCGTTCTTCCAGTGTAACAGAAAGCTGAAATTCAGAGAGGATTCAAGGCTGGTCCTGTCAGGTTCTTGTATAAAAATGCCCTTTGCTTTCCTCATGGTCCCTGAGATGGTTTGCTTTCAGTTGCTTTGGTTATGCAAAAACTCAACATTTATTAAGCGCTTACTGTTGGTGCTAAGTGGTCTATATGACATTATCTCTTTCAATCCTCCACAATAAATCCCATTTTTCAGATGAGGGTATGAGGCTTAGAGAGCTTAAAGCAGTTCCCCGAGGTTGGTACTAGTTCCCCGATAGCTCAGTTGGTAAAGAATCCACCTGCAATGCAGGAGACCCCAATTCAATTCCTGGGTCGGGAAGATTCCCTGGAGAAGGGATAGGCTACCCACTCCAGTATTCTTGGGCTTCCCTTGTGGCTCAGCTAGTAAAGAATCTGCCTGCAATGTGGGAGACCCCAGTTCAATCCCTGGGTGGGGAAGATCCCCTGGAGAAGGGAAAGGCTACTCACTCTAGTATTCAGACCTGGAGATTTCTTCAACTATTAAACTGTTTCTTCAACTATTAAATAGAGAAGAGATTAAATAAGAGAAGGGGATGAGACAGAAGTCCAACTCTTTGCGACCCCATGGCCTGTAGCCTGCCAGGCTCCTCTGTCCATGGAATTCTCCAGGCAAGAATACTGGAGTGAGTAGCTATTCCCTTCTCCAGGGGATCTTCCCAATCCAAGGATCGAACCCGGGTCTCCCACATTAAAAATAGACTCTTTGTTGTCTGAGTCACCAAGGGAAGCCAAGTCTTACCACGGTGAGCAGTCAATTCATTTTAGCTAAAAAACGCATAAGGAAAACTCAAGCCATAGAGTTCAGTGCCTGGCTTAGCGCAACACAAGAGCCAGCTCTGGACTCCTAGGCTGGGACACTCCCACTGCGCCCTCTGGGCCATCAAGGGTCAACTGGGACTTGGGTGTCTCTACAGTCTGGTCTCTAACCTGGCAGCCAGCTCCTGTCAGATACGTAGAGGGAGACCTGGACCTTGTAGCCAAAACCACATTGTGGCTGCAAAAGTCAGCATCTTGGAAGCCAAGGGAGTTCCTCTTTTTGAGCATTTCCCACTTGTCTGCTGCCCAAGGGAGGAGGCTTTGAAGCTTGGTTGATTCCTCTTCCCTTTTCTTTCTTTTCCTCTTTTCCTTTATCAGCTGCTCAAACCCATCACAGGGTTGATGGAGGCTCTGTTATTATTCCTGCTCTACAGGTGGGGAGACGGGCCCAGAGGTGACATAGCTTGTTCTGGTCCATGGCAGAGCAGGAATGGGGTGTGGGGAGCCTTGCTGCAGCGTGATGCCCTTCACCAGCTTCATGTTCCTTCTCTGTGTTGCCAAACCAATTGGTTTTTCACCGTCATCAGCCTGATTAGAGCATTCAACTCTGTTACTCTTTACAAGTTAAGAGTAACAGCCTGGTGTGGTCTGGGTGACTCTCAGAACCCAGGTCACCTTCTCTGTGGAATGAGGAGCATGGGCTTGAATCTCGATGAGGGCTTCTCCGGGTGGGATAAAATACAGGCAGTTTGGCACCACCCTTAATTCAGGAGGTTGGGAGTGGGCTGAGAAGTTGCATTTCTATCAAATCCCCTGCTGCTGTCAGGCTGGAGATAAGCTTTTAGAACCATTTTCTAGATGTTCTGAGTTCTGCTCTGGTTCTCATTCAAAGGGGGTAGAGTCTTTCTTACTCCCCAGCAATCCTGGAGTGATTGTTCTGGACTGGCTGGTAGAGATAACCCAGAAACTATGTGTGTGTTTGCGCTCTAAGGGGAGGGTGTGACCCGCAATAAAAATAAAAGGCCCCAGTGGAAGCAGGTCTCAGTGAGCAAGCTGAGTACAGGGCGGGTCTTGTCTGACCTTTCCTTCTTAGTGTTTCATTCTTCCCCTCCTTAGCTTCTCAGTTTCCCATCCTCTTCCAACACGCATCACTTCAGGGCTGGCTATTTTGGGAAATGGCTCACAGGACGTAGTTCTGGCACTTAGACTCCCTTTTCCCTCTGAGTGATACAAAGGAAAACTGCTTGTCTAGATAAGCCAAAGGGCATCGGGCAGGCCTGGCCCCCAGGAGCAGCTCTAGGGTGGGGCTCTGGGCAGGACCAGGGCCCTGAGGAGGGTGTTGGAGGCTGTAGGCTGAGGAGTGTCTGGGAGCTGATGGGCCGTGGGAGGCACCAGGTTTTGTGATCTTGGCTTTAGGCTCTAAGCTCAGTTTTGTTTTGTTTTTTAACTGTAAAAATACATAGCACTTGCCATTGTAACCATTTTTAAGTGTGCATTTCAGTAACGCCAAGTACAATCACATTATTATACAACCATCACCACAATCCATCTCCAAGACTTTTTCATCTTTCCTAACTGATACTCCTTACCCAATTAAACCTTAACTTCCCAGACCCTGCCCCCCAACCCCTGGCAATGACCATTCTACTTTCTGTCTCTGTGAATTTGACTATGTTCAATTGTTTTAATCTGTCAAATCAGGGGATTGAATGAACGATCTTAAGTGGCCTTTCAATCATAACATTCAGAGTCTCAGTGTCCTGTGTTTGGAAGTGATGGTCATTTGTCTATACCTTGGTCACTCCTGACCCCTGCCCTGGAACTTGTTGATGAGGGGTGAGGACCCAGTCACTTCTAAGAGTCACCCCCGGGTCCCTTGGAGTCCACCCTAATCCTTTACCCATCCTTGACTTCAAGTTTGCCCTTCAAATCTGAATAAGTCCTGGGTCTCAGGAGCCATTTTATTGTGTTTCTGCTGCTTTTGTGTTGTTCCGAGGCCAGCCTGGATGCTTCTCTGTACTTCAGCCTAATGGAAAACACTCTCAGTAGGAGCCCTGGGGTTTGATCTCAGTTCTGCCTTCCTCAGGTTATAAGACTTTGCCCCACCCCTGATTCTTATCATCAATTAGTTTCCTTGTTGTTGTTGAGTCGCTAAGTCCTGTTCAACTCTTTGCAGTCACGTGGACTGTAGCCCACCAGGCTTTTCTGTCCATGGGATTTCCTAGGCAAGAATACTGGAGTGGGTTGCCATTTCCTTTTCCAGGGGATCCTCCCAACCCAGGGATCGAATCTGAGTCTCCTGCTTTGGCAGGCAGATTCTTTACCACTGAGCCACCAGGGAAGCCCAGTTTCCTCATTAATTCTGAATAAAATGCCCTTGGCCTCAGTGGAGTTGTTGCAAGGTGAACACCTCAGGGTGTCTCAGAAATGCACATGGCTGTTGAGTGGATAAGGGCTGTGGTGGGCAGGTGAGTTCTATAAAATGAGGAGGAAGGAGGCAACTCTTGCAACTCATTACCTCCCACTGAGTCTTGACCACAGTCTTGCACATCCGTTGTTCTGTTGTTTTTCTGATAGTTGAAAATTTATTGAACAAATCAAATTAATTATTAATATGTTGTTAACAGTGACTCAAGCACAAATGGTGTTGTGTTTCTTCTTACTCTTAACTATTCCAACACCTGAAATATTCATTCTTAGGAGATAGTGAAGGACAGGGAAGCCTGGCATGCTGCAGTCCGTGGGGTCGCAAAGAGTAGACACCAACCACTTGGCGAACTGAACAGCAAAGTACTAATTATAGTAGCATAACTAGAAAAAATTGATATTAAAGCCTATTTTCCCATTGGAGTTACTTTTTTTTTTTAACACGTATGGAAGTGAAAGTGAAGTCACTCAGTCGTGTCCCACTCTTCGTGACCCCATGGACTGTAGCCCACCAGGCTCCTCCGTCCCTGGGATTCTCCAGGCAAGAGTACTGGAGTGGGTTACCATTTCCTTCTCTAGAGGATCTTCCCAACCCAGGGATCGAACCTGGGTCTCCTGCATTGTAGGCAGGCGCTCTACCGTCTGAGCCACAGGGAAGTCCTTTTACACATATACATGTATCTATTCTTTTTCAAATTCGTTTCCCACTTAGGTTGTTACATAATATTGAGCGGAGTTCCCTGTGCACCTCTATTGGGTTGGCCAAAAAGTTCGTTCGGGTTTGACATATGGGCTTCTAGACTAACCCGAACAAACTTTTTGGCCAACTTGCTGACCTACAGCTGAGCTAACATCTTCCTGTCCCAGCAATTAATGCTTTGTTCCAGGCAAGGAAATCTCTCCACCTTTGAGCAGCTTCGCTTTCCAGCTGTTAGACCATTCTTTCCTACATGCTCTCTGCCTGTTAGGGAGGGAAGGAGAGGGGTTCTCAAAACTAAGAAGACTTTATCAGAAAGAGACCAAGTTGAAGTCAGCCTCAGGAGAAAAGAGAACAAACTCTGAGGACACAGCCGGAATTAATGGATGGAGAAGGAGATCTTGCCTGTCAGTAAACTTCAGCTTTCTCGGGAGTGAAGAAAATGCTGATAATTGCCTCATAATTTAGATTTGCAAATTTAGCACTTTAGGTTTTTCAAGTTCTTATTTCCTTTCCACTTATTTTGCCTGAGATTAGGATTTGTCAGCAATACATGCTAAGTCCCTCTAGTTGTGTCCGACTCTTTGTAACCCCATGGACCATAGCCCACCAGGCTCCTCTGTCCATGGGATTCTCCAGACAAGAATATTACATTGGGTTGCCATGGCTTAGTCATCAGCTCCACTCAGCCTGGTTGAGCCTTGTGTGAACTGGAATTCCTGGCTAGCCCAAGAAGTTTGTACCTTCACTCTGATTCAGCACTTGATGGTTTCACAGGGCTCCAGCTTATCCTGAAAGTACTTTATAAAATGGTTTGCAGTTCATCCAAAGCATAACTTATTAACATATATTCACCCCAGTTTTAAGGAGAAGGCACTGGCACCCCACATCAGTACTCTTGCCTGGAAAATCCCATGGACGAAGGAGCCTGGTGGGCTGCAGTCCATGGGGTCGCGAAGAGTCGGACACAACTGAGCGACTTCACTTTCACTTTTCACTTTCATGCGTTGGAGAAGGAAATGGCAACCCACTCCAGTGTTCTTGCCTGGAGAATCCCAGGGACAGGGGAGCCTGGTGGTCTGTCGTCTATGGGGTCACACAGAGTCAGACAGGACTGAAGTGACTTAGCAGCAGCAGCAGCAGCACCCCAGTTTTAAAGACCGGAGCATAAAGTGGTTTCTCATAATTAATTAACAATGCAGTCAGTTCTTCCCTATGAGAGAACTCAGGTCTAAGATAAGATTTGCACAGTTTAGAGCGGTGGTTCTCAATGCAGTAGACCTTTGGCAGTGTCTGGAGACATTTTTGGTTGTCATAATTTGGCAAGGGGGAGGCAAGGGGTTGCTCTTGCATCTAATGGGTGGAGGCCAGGGATACTGGTAAACATCTTATACAACACAAGACAAGCCCCATGACAAAGAATTATCCAGCTCAGGATATCAGTAGTGCCAGCATTAAGAAACTCTTGTTTAAAGGAATCAATTTCCTGTGACTCCCCCAAGACAGGAGCTGGTTTTTCTTCCTAGAAGTCATGTGTACCCCCTTAGAGGTGTCCTGGGCACCTCCCACCTGATGACTTGTGGTTCTAGGGAGAGATGCCAAGTCCTGCTCCAGACACTAACCTCTGTCTTTTGGGTCTGGCAGGGCCTACCTCCTTCACTCAGCCTCCCTCTTCTACTTTCTCTTTGCCTAGAATTCAGACTTCCAGGCTTCTTCTTAAGGGAGCAGAACTCCAGTAGACCAGGGAGGGGCTGATCATAGACAGTCATGATCAGGGGAGGGCCCCTGCCATATTCTCTCTGGGAGGAAGGGAAGAGCGCTTGAGGGCCTGTGCCCCACCCCGCACACCCGTCTTGAGAGGCCCAGAACAAACCAGGCCTGTGGGCACTGCTAGCCCACCCCCAGGGAGGCCTCTCCTACCTCAAGGAGATAAAACTTACTCTATTTTTTTAAAAAATGGACACTACCCACCAGATTCTAGTACCAAAAACAAGTGTATCTTGTGTATCTTGGTGCTCCATCAGTATTATCAGTATAATCAGTGTTATTATAATACATTATCAAATATATTACATTGGAATGTTGATATTCCGAGTCTTTATTGCATTAGGAAATGCAGCCTGAGGCTCTCGCCCTCGTGGGTCTGATTGCAGAAGCCTTGGGGCTCTGAAGGAGTCGGAAGCATGGGGTCCTTTGGGTCCTCCCGGTCAGGTTTGGGCTGGGGGTGGGGTGCTGCCCACGTCCTCTCAATGTGTGGAAGTTTACACAATGGCTTGACTTGTCGGTTGGGCTGATTCATCCGTTTGGCCCTTGACGCCTGCCTCTGGCCTAGCCAGGACAGAAGGGGGTCCCTTAGGAACTCCTGGCCCTGTTCCCTCTAGGAGAGACGCACAATGGAGCTGTGATAAGACAGGGTTTGAGGGGGAAGTGGACTGGTGGAAACAGGATATTTTTAAATTCAAGAAAGAAACAGAAGGTTGTGACTCCCGTTGTGACAGTCGGGCCCCGAGACAGCCAAGATTCAGAAGGTGCTTGAACTTGGGGGGTGGCGGAGGGGACTGGGTAGAAATCGAGGTCCCTAGGATTGCCTCTCAAGGAAGAATGAGGATTTGGGGGTGAGTGGGCCTTCCCCAGGATTCTATGTCTTCAGAGCTAGGGCCATAGTGGGCTATTTGGGGTGTCAGCCACAAGAGGTAGGCCACCCCACCCCCACCCCCATTCAGAAACTCTGCTGTTCATGGAGTCTGGTCCTGTCCAAGGGCCAATCACAGCCCTCTCTCACCTCTTGTAGTAAAAACCATCTCTAAGTAACGCAGGTGGTCACTCACCTTTGGTGCAAGGTCTCCTGTTTCCTTGGGCCTTTCTCACCCTCCTTCACATCTTCTGGACATGTCTCGGCATGCCCCCCAGCAAGAAGACCGTGTGGTCTCCACATCGTTGGGACGATGCTCCCTTCCAGGGGAAGGGGATGTGGCGTCCTGCCCTTCAGACAGCACTTGAACTCCAAATGCCAAAGGGTGTTGGCCTTGTTTATGCTTTCTGCTCCATGGATCCCCACTCCTGGGAATAGACAAACTAGTATGAACCTTTGAAATAGCTTTATTCCCCAAGAGGATACTGGCGGCATCATATAAAATAGCAAAAACTTGGAAAGAACCTAAATTTTTAAAAGTAAGGAACTGGTTTAGTAAACAACTGCATACTGTGGAATGATGACTAAATAGCTGCTAACAATTATGTTTCTAAAATCACACCATGTGTAAAAGAGAGGCTCTAAAATGGAACAGACTAGATAATTGTAACTCCTCTCCACCCCCACCCCCACCGCCCCCCCACCAAAAGCACAAAAAAGCTCTACTCTTAGTGGAAAATGTCTGGAAGACATTTCAGTCAACCGTGGAGCTGGAGAGAATTTTTACCTGCTTTCTACTTTTCTGTAATTTTCAGGTTTCTTTTTTCCCCTCTAAAATAGCATGTGCTAGTAAGTTTAAAAAAAAGAAAAAACTGTTTATAATGTCAAATGGGCTGCCAGGGACTTTATATGCTTGTTACATGGAGCCACAGGGTCCTGGGGAAGCTACCCGTGGGCAAAGGGGCCATAAACCTGGGCACCCAGTAAGGGTGAGGGCCTGGGGTCTCCTGCACAGCCACCCAGCCCCTCCCCCCATCTCTTTCCTTCGCCTGCTCAGCCTCTGAGATGTTGGAGTGGGGAGCCTAACTGCTGTTCGTGTTCTTCATACTGCTCACATTTGCCTTATCCTTTGTTTTGCAGATTTCGTGGAAAACAGATATTCTGTAAGTACACATTTCATATGCATTATCTTTAAAAAAAAAAATAGTCCATTCAACAGTGAAATATTTCCAGACTCACTCAGTTTTCTGCAGCCCTAGCAAAGACACCCTGGACTAGCCTTGTCTGTTTTACACCAAGACCCTGGGCGCCTCTGATCAGCCTGGTGCTCAGGCTATCAGGTTTTCTAGGCCTGTTGTGCTTCATCATTCCTTCGCAGCCCGCTTAGGACATGAAAGCCCGGAAATTGCCCGCAGGATTGGAAATCTAGGGCACTCAGTTCTAGATGAGCAGAGTCCATATTCCCTCTGAGTCCAGGTCCTTGGGGGTGGGGTGAGGGTAGGGATGGGCAGTGCAGATTCGGGGGTGTAGTTACCCTCCCACACCAGGCTCTTTGCTGTGGGGGACATGGAAGGTCTTTGAGCCAGTGAGGAAATCAGGGGGATTATCTCAGGTGAGAATGCAAAGCAATTTGCTGCTCCAGAGACCTCGGAAACAGGAGAGAGGCACTTCATGCTGCCTGGTTAGCAGCCTCTTCCCCAGGGAAAGGGCCGCAAGGAACCAGCCCCTTAGAGCAGCGTCCCAGTGGAAAGGTCTCCAGGGGCCGAGGTCTGCGGCTGGAGAGGTGGCGGAAGCTCTGGCAGCTCAGGGAGCAGACAAGGGTGCCTGTGAGGCGTGATGGGGGGAAAGGTAAGGTAGCGCTTGCTTAGAAAAAACTCAAATACCTCATCATGAGGTTTCATTCTGTAGCTAGTAGAGGATTCAGGAAGCTGGCATTTGGCAGATGCTGCTGCTAAGTCACTTCAGTCGTGTCCGACTCTGTGCAACCCCATCCCTGGGACTCTCCAGGCAAGAGCACTGGAGTGGGGTGCCATTTCCTTCTCCAATGCATAAAACTGAAAAGTGAAAGTGAAGTCGCTCAGTCATGTCGGACTCTTCGCGACCCCATGGACTGCAGCCCACGAGGCTCCTCCGTCCATGGGATTTTCCAGGCAAAAGTACTGGAGTGGAGTGCCATTGCCTTCTCCAAACTTGGCAGATAGGAATGCTTAAAAGAAGTACAGAAGGGGACTTCCCTAGTGGTCCAGTGGTTGGGACTCTACACTCCCAATGCTGGGGGCATGGGTTCAACCCTTGGTTGGAAAACTAAGATTCTGCCTGGTGTAGTAAAAAAAAAAAAAAAAATGGTGCAGAGGTCCAAGTTCAAGTTTTGCAAAGACCCATCTCCCCCTATTTTCCTACTCTCCACCTCTTTATGATCTGCCCAGCAGCATAGAAGTTAACTGGGCAGCTAGCATCTTAAGGAATAAGGTGTTTGCCCCTCAGATTTCTTCTTTAAGGTCTGGGAAGAACTTTCAGCAAGATTGCTGGAAGCCCCTTCCAGTGCACCCCAGCTTCCTTTGTTTTGCCTGAGTCTGAATTCTTGTAAAACAGAGAACTCATTATGCCTTTGACAGACAGGAAGCTGCTGACATTCTTGTGATGGAGGAAGGCTTTCAATTTAAGGAAAAGAGGAATGAAATGAATGTCTTTTTCTAGGCTAAGCTCACTCAGACTTCTGAAATCAGACACGATTGCTTTTGAAAGACATTAGGGGTGTGGGGCAAGGAAAATTTAGAGCAGAATAGCTTGCCCAGTGTGACCCAGCTTGTTAACTGCAGAGCCAGGGCTAGAAAACCTAGGTCTCCAAGCCCCCCAGCCAGTCCACACCACAAGACTCCCTCCAAGAGTGATGTCACTGTCCCAGCCATCACAGCTCCGAGAGCGTGGGAAGTGAGAACTTTGCTCCATGGACCTTGTGGGGCCCAAATAAAGAGATATTCTCCTGATGCAGTAATCATGGTGTGTCCACCCAAAGCAGGTCTGCTGGACCTCGAGACCAGCTTATTTACTTTGTCTTCAATCCAAACGATCTCTCTGGACAGAGGCTCCGAGCTCTAGGACAGACAGAACTTTCCCTTTGCCCAGAAGCTGGCCCGCGGGCCCAGGAGTCTGCTCCTGAGAACTCACTCACGGCTGGTCCTGCCCCCCCAAAATAATTAAATCTTCTGGCGGGAGCACAGGGATTCCCAGCCGTTGGGAAAGGCATTTGGAATCTTGACGCGAAAGCATCTTGTTTATAAACGACGCAGGTATAGTTTCCCTAATAATCAGCTGGCAAGGCTCAGGAGAAAATTAATTGAAATGCCCAGAAGGGAAATGGGAGGGGATTTCCTTCCTGAAATCAAACCTGGCGATCATTCTCAGTTGTTTAATAGCCATTGCTTCTGAAAACATATTGGAGGAAATATCTTAACAATGAGATAGCCGCTTAGCCAAATACTAATTTAGTATTGTTTGACTTGCTTCAATGGCACATTCTGACTTCATTTTTCCTCTGCCATTTTTGCCTTGTTTATAAATCGTGTTTGTGGCCCAGGCAGACAGATAACATGAAAGAGAACAGCCTGTACTTAAAGGGATGAGTCTGAACCTGCATGGCTCTCAGGATCTTGGAAATAAATTTTCTTCTTACTGAAAAAAAAAGAAAGGCAATTCCTAGTTACAACCTACCTCCTTCCTTCCCTGGAGCCAGCAGGCAGCTGGAATATGATGGGAATGGCCCAGGATTTGGGATCAAGAGACTGGGGTCTGGGTTCCAGCTCCCTAGTCAAGCCTGAGCTTCCCCATCTATAAAATGGAGACGGTGATGACAATAGCAAAAACAGTAACATCTATCTATTAAGTAGCTTCTTAGGGCTTCCCCCATGGCTCAGTGGTAAAGAATCTGCCTGCCAGTGCAGGAAACAGGGGTTCAATCCCTGGGCTGGATAGATCCCCTGGAGAAGGAAATGGCAACCCACTCCAGTATTCTTGCCGGGGAAATCCCGTGGACAGAGGAGGCTGGTGGGCTATACAATCCATGGAGTCGTGAAAGAATCAGACATGGCTTGGTGACTGAGACCACAACAGCAAGGAGCTTCTTAAGAATGAGAAACGCTTCTTAAATGAGAACCACCTGTGCAAAGTACTTGCAGACTAAAAACTATCATAGAAAAGCTAGTTATCTATTTTAAAGTTCTTTTCATCAGACACTCTGGCAGCATAGGGTACGGATAGGGAATTTACTTAGCTTGGCCCTAAAAGGCCACTGTCACATGAGGAGAATGTAGCAGTTGCTTACCCAAGACACAGGATTCAACTCAAGCCAACCTTTGACTTAGGAAGCAGGGCCGCACATTAGAACTTGACCCTTCCCTGATAGCTCCTTATTAGACATGTCACTTTGGGCAGACTTCCTAACCTCTTGGGACCTTAGTTGCCTCATCTATACACTGGAGGAAATAGAACCCTCACACTTGGTTGCTGCAAGGATTAAGCAGGCACCCAGCACAGATCTGATTCATTGGGAGTGCACAGAAGGGGCACATTCAAGAAGCAGGAAGTAGAAATCCCAGGAGTGTTAGAAGCAAAATGACCCTTGAGACTGTCCACACCATGTTCTGGCCAAAAGTGGGCTGATTTCTTGGCTGTTCTCAGGTGCCTGACAGCTGGGCTCTGATTTAAAAGCAGGCAAGCACAGCCTTGGATGGGAGTGTGTTAGCCTTTAGTTCAAAACCCCCAAGGTCTGGACAACTGTGGTCCTGCCCTTCCCAGCTCTGGAGCTTTCCTGCAGCAGCTCGCTGAGCTCACTTCCCCTGGAGAGGGCAGCGGAGGTGTCTGGTGGAGGACTTGGTCCAGGGCCTGCAGAAAGGCTGGACACCAGGGTCACTCCTCCGGGCCAAGTGGAGGAAATGGAGGAAGGGTAGCTGCCAGGGCTGGCGGGCCTCCAGCCCCCGGGGGCCAACACAGTTCTCTTGGCCTGCTTGCATGGGTCTCTCTTGGCAAAGGAGGAGTCAGAGCCTTGGCCTTCCAGCTGGAGCCCCACAGGCCTGCATCCTTCCGAGAGGTTCCTTAGACCTGGTAGGACCAGAACAAAACAGGGACTCCATCTCAGCCAACCCTCTGGGAGACAGACAGGGCCCCATCGTGGTGTTCCCAAGACCCAGGCCAATCCCCACAACTTCTCCTGCCTCCCTGGATTCCACCTGCTGCAGGGTACTCTGTGTTCACAGAGGGCCCAGTGTCATGCATTCAGGTGCTGCCTGTTCTTCCAGACTCACTGTTGCCTGGGGCCCCTCTACTCAGGAATTTCCCAGCATGCTCCACTCTTGCCTCTTTGCTCCATCCATTCATCAAAATCCACCCCTCTCATAGCTTTTCAACTCCTTCTGCAGGTCGTTAGGACCTCTTCCACTTTCTACTTCATGGTAGTGTTGTTTGTCAGTAATTGATAGGATACAAAATTCTCGGGGGCAGTTTGTTGCATCCTCAGCGGGGAAAACAGTGCCTGGGTCAGACGGAGGTCCATTCACGGAGGGGTGTGTAGGTAACACAAATACCATGTGGAACAGTTAGAGAACACTGTAAGGTGACACATGGAATTTAAAAAAAGTTTTTTTCACTTTTATTGTGGCAAAATACACACAACATGAAGTTTATCATTTTTACCATCTTTCAGTGTACAATTAATTCAGTTGCATTAAGCACAATCTCATTGTTGTGTGACCATTGCCAAATCCACAGAACTTTTCATCATCCCAGACCAAAAGTCTGCACCCGTTGAGCCCCAATTTCCTATTCCCCCTGCCTCCCAGAATGGCAGCCACTATCCTACTTCATGTCTCTAGAACCTTGGCTCTTCTGGATACTCCTACTTAAGTGGAATCATAATAATATTTGTTCCTTTTGTATCTCTTATTTCACTTAGCATATTGTTTTCCAGGGTTTATCCATGTTGAAATGAATCAGAATTTCATTCTTTTTTAAGGCAGAATCATATAATTTAAAACTCTTTTAAAAGTTTAATCATTTGAGTTTGGTATTTCATTTTTTAAAATTTAAAAACAGACCTCTGGGCTTCTCTGGCAGTCCAGTGGGTTAAGACTCAGGGCTTTCACTGCAGGGGGACACAGGTTCAATCCCTGGTCAGGGAACTAAGATCCTGCAAGCCAAGAGGCATGACCAAAAACAAACAAACAGGCAAACAAACAAACAAACAAACAAAACAGACCCAGAGAAGGTTAACTGAGAGTTTGAGTCAGACACCAGGTGCTTCCTAGTCTTCCTGTGTGGGTGCTTGATGAAATTGGTTGAGAGTCTGCTGTGTGGCGTGTATGTGGGGGACAGAGGCTGCAGACCCCACAGAACAGACATGGAGAGAAAGAAGAATGAATCTGGGCAGGAGCTGCCCGCACAGGGTGGGGGGTGCCCACGGATGTCGGTTCTGCTGTGCAGTGTCTTGGAAAAGCGCTGGGTGCAGTTTTGCGTAACTTTCCACCAGGCCAGTCTTCAATCTTGAAGGGTGTGACCATAGCGTGTCCTATCTCTTGTCACTGCAGAGAACGGAAGGCTCCCTTGACGGATCTTAGGACTCTGCGAGCACACGCGCCTCCCTGGGAGGACACCCACATTCCAAGACGAGCAGATGATTCCTGTATCGCAAGAGTTTTGTGCACTTATTTATGGACCTGCCCTGCTCCCACTGAAAGTAGCAATTCGTCAGGCCAAGTCACCAGTTATTAAATCCATCTTAACTACTTTTATGTTGGGTATAAAGAGCTAACAGACGGGCTGGTTAGTTTCCCACACAGCCCGCCTCCCAGCAAGTTGGAGCATCCTCAGGAGTGGAGAGTGGCAGCCAGAGGTTCAGGGTAAACTGGCCATTGGGATATTTTGAAACTTGAATATTTTGTCTTGTGCAGAAATCGAGAACTTGTCCAAGTACTCTCATCCACAGAAACCGGTTTCTGTTTTGTAGTCAGTTCCCCCTAGAGAACGGTCTAGCTTAGGGGCTAGTTTTTCTCCTTGCCTTTGGTCCTTTGAGGGTCTGTGGTTCTAGGCAGTCCTTGTTCCTTGCAACTGCACGGCACGGACTGGACAGCTGCCCCTACCCTCTCCACGACCTCACCTGCCGCAACTGGGAGAGCAAAGCTGCTTGGGAGCCACTCTTTTGAGATGCCAACTTGAAGACGAGGTTCATTTCTGGGCAATGCACCAAATAGAAAATGAAGTTGGACAAAGCACAGATGTTCCTAGGCTGGTTTTCTGTCCCCTTTCTTTCTTTTCCTCTACCACGCTGAAGGCCAAAGGACAGGAAGATGGCTGCCTCCAGCAAATTTTTTTTTTAATAGGAAAATGAAATGCATATTTTTCTTACTAATTTTTTGTTATTTATTCCTTGCTAAAAGGAATGGTCTCCCGAGGTCCTCAGGTGTTTCTGATGGTGTCCTGAGTGTGGACGAGGGGCTGTGGCCCTTCCGTGGCGGGATTGCACTCGTGAGCTCGCCCCACCGAAGCCACCTCCCTCGTCCTCCTCAGCTACGCAGTGCAGAGGCCCTGCGGGGTGTTGTATTAAATAAATCTGATCTTCACTTTTCACAGACCCGTGAGATGTCATCTTCTGAGAGGCCGTACACATACAGAATATCTGTCATGCCCGAGGACTCCTCCATCAAAGCCTAGGAGGCCACAGAGAGAACCACGCAGCTTCTGTCAGCAGGCCAGTGCCTCTGTGGCCTTCACTGAGGCAGGCACACTGAGCCATTAATATCCATCAGAGCTACTCCAGTGTCGGCTTCGCAGCTGAAGCTCGCTTGCTAGGCTGTTATCAGATTGAGCAAAAACAGTAACAACCCCCACCCCCACCCCCATGCCCTGCCGCCACCCAAAACCAGGATGCCTGCTTACATTTGAATTCCAGATAAACAACAAATAATTTTTGAGTATAAGTATATCCCATGTAGGGCTTCCCTCGTAGCTCAGTTGGTAAAGAATCTGCCTGCAATGCAGGAGACCAGGGTTCAATTCCTGGCTCAGGAAGATCCCCTGGAGAAGGAAATGGCAACTCACTCCAGTATTCTTGCCTGGAGATTTCCATGGACAGAGGAATCTGGCAAGCTAGAGTCCATGAGGTTGCAAGAGTTGGACATGACTTAACAACTAAACCACCAACCACTACATGTCCCATGTAACATTTGGAACATACTGACACTATAAAAATATTCATTTATCTGAAATTCAAATTTAACTAGGCATCTTACATATTATCTGGTAACCCTACTGGCAAAGCACCCTCCCACTCCTCAAAACCTCCAGACCCATCCTCCCCTGTGTCCTCAAACCAGATCTTCCCACCCACAGGCCAGGGCCGCACCATAGCTGCACCATCACCGCCTCTCCATTCCCCTACCCCCCCCCCCCACGCCCTCCTCCTGGCCTGAAGGTGGAGGAGATCTGAGAATGTGTCCTGACTCTGTCAGCCTGCAGCTGCAGAAACTTGAAAGAGCCTCTTAGATTCTTCATCTCTAAGATAAGATGGTTAGACTAACATTTGGAGGGTTTAGGTTCTTTTCAAAATATGAGGGAAGCTATGTACACACACATACACATAAAATGTTGTATCACAAAGATGCTATACAGTTTCACAGTGTTCAGGGCCATGGACTCAGGACAGAGACTGAGGATTAGACCAGGGGTACCCAACCTCTGGGCCATGGACCATTACCTCCTGTCTGATCAGCGGCGGCATTGGATCAGAAAGAAAGTGCGCAACGAATGTAAAGGGTTTGGATCATCCGGAAACCAACCCCCACCCCGGTCTGTGGAAGAATTGTCGTCCATGAAATTGGTCCCTGCTGCCAAGAAGATTGGGGACCACTGGATTAGACGGTCTCTAACAGCCTTCAAGCCTGATAGTCGATGTGTCTGTGATTTGGGGAGCACCCCGAGCCCCCTTGTCAACCCCTCGGTCCCTTGTTGCCACCAGAACACGGCCATTGCTGTGGAAACAGGAAACCCTGTTCATGCTGCTCATGATTTGTTTATGGAGCATGATTGGGTCTTTATTTTTCCCCTCAGTCTACATGTCTGAGGAGGAGACCACACACCCACCCAGGGATCTTTCTTTCAGGATATTTAATGGCTAAAATCTCTCTAAACCCAGCATCCTGGTTCCACTGTCCTAACCTGATACCAAGCAGCTAAGCCTGAGCTTGTCACTTAAAGGGAGGGCCCAGTCACCCGTTTCCAGGAAAGAAAGGACATTTTCTCAGCTCTCGAAGTCGTTAGTTGGAGCTCCCTCTTGTGTCTTCATGTTGTCATAGGTCATTAGAGAAGAAACCACTTAGAAAAGACTGAGGAGAATTTTTTCCCTCTTCTGAGAACCCACAAGAGGTCAGCCACCCATTTCATGAGCACATACTGAGTGCTCCACCAGCAAGAACTGACTGACCAAACTCTCGCACCCCAACGTAGACTCAAGATAGATGAAGTGACCCCAAGATCAACATACATTCATTCATGCACACAGTGGTTTTCTACCAGGGTGATTTTATCTCCCGGGGTCCCTGGGCAGTCTCTGGACACATTTTTAGTTGTCACAGTTGGGTGGGGGTGCGATTGGCATGTGGTGGGCAGAAGCCAAGGATACCATTAAATACCCTGCAATGCCCAGGACAGCCCCTGTGATAGAGGAAAGACCAAGTCCAGAATGCCAAAAGTGCCAGGGCTGAGCAGCCCTGCAGTTAGTCGTGTATTCACTCAGTAAGCTTGTATCCATCCATCTGTTTTCCTGACACTGGTGGGAATAGGAAGATTATAAGAATCACATGGCACCTGATCTCCTGTACAGTCTAGTGGAGAAAGAGGTGAGTAGACAGCGAGTTACAACAGTGGGACAAAGGTGGTGATGGAGAAATTCAAAGAAAATGGGGACACAGGGCAGGGAGTTCCTAACAGATTTTGGGGGATCAGAGAAAGTGTCCAAGATGAAGTGTCTAACCGAGGGTAGGCAGAGGGTAGCAGGGGGAAAAGGTGGGGTGAGGAGCAAGGAGCAGGACCAACAACAGGGGGACCTGTGCTCAGGCCTCGAGACAAGGGAGAGGACGGTATCCCCAAAGAATACCAGGGAAACAGCCTGTCACCCCTGTGACCCAATCAGTCCTCTTCAAAAAGACACCACTGTCCCTGGAGAATTTCTGCCAGGCATCCCATTGGCCTGACCCAATCTTTTGAGGGTTTTAAGGAGACGGTCCCCCAAAGTTGCTCAAATAGATCTCAGTTTCTGAGCACAGTTGTTTTTAAGAGTCTCCACCAGTCTCACCAGTGGCTCAGATGCTGAAGCACTTGCCTGAAATGCGGAAGACATGGGTTTGATCCCTGGGTGGGGAAGATCCCCTGAAGAAGGGAATGACAACTCACTCCAGTATTCTTGCCTGGTGAATTCCATGGACAGAGGAGCCTGGTGGGCTACAGTCCATGGCGTTGCAAGAGTCAGACACAACTGAGCAAGTAATAGACACACACCAGCATTGTTAGCATGTTGGAGAGAACACCTCTGCCATAGGTCAGGTGTGACCCTTGCTCACTTACCATCATGAGCCTCAAGTTGAGAAGGTGAACTGGAGGAGGGTGGCTGCCCAGCAGGACAGTCTCCATAGCTGGGGTCCACAGGGGAACGGGGGTAGGGCATGTTGTCTGTGAGCCCTCAAGAGTGGGTGAAAAGGGTTCTAAGAGTATTCAGTACTCTGGGACAGAGAGTGTATAGCTTTTATCAGTTTCTCAGAGACATAATCCAAAAAAGGGTTAACTATGAAACAATTAAAAAAACTCATGCATTCTCCATATGATTTGATCTCAGTTGAAAACCCAGAAAGTGGGACTTCTCTGGCTGTCCAGTGGTTAAGACTTTGACTTCCAATGCAGGGGGTCCAGGTTCCTTCCCTGTTCTGGGAGTTAAGATCCCATGTGCCTCGGGGCCAAAAAACCAAACATGAAACAGAGGCAATGTTTAACAAATTCAATGAAGAATATTTAAAAATGGTTCACATCAAAAATCAGGGCTTCTTCGATAGCTCAGTTGGTAAAGAATCCGCCTGCCATGCAGGAGACCTCAGTTCGATTCCTGGGTTGGGAAGATCCCCTGGAGAATAATAAGGCTACCCACTCCAGTATTCTGGCCTGGAGAATTCCATGGACTGTATAGTCCATGTGTTCGCAAAGAGTCAGATACGACTGAGTGACTTTTACTTCACATCAAAAAATATTTTGAAAAGAAAACCCAGAAAGAGGTCAATCCATTTCTTATCAAAGGGTCTGCTTCATGGACAGTTTTAAGTCCAATGTCCTAAGAGGGACTTGGCTTGCCTTGAAAACACAGCTCAGAATAAAGAAATAGTGATTTCAATGTTCTAAAGAGACAGCCTCATCTCTCAAAAGTAATAACCTATTAGACGGCGCTGGAATGCCAAAGGAATATGCAGTAAATAATCTGAAAAGCTTCTGAGTCCAAAGTGTTTCTGAAGCCTGAATTATCCCTTCATACGTGTCTTAATTCAACGAGAAAAGAATATTTCAATGTGAAGTTTGACAA